CCGACCGGGAGCGAGAGACCGGTGAAATGTACTTGTTCTGTGTCTCAAGCCGCCGTCAAAAAAGACTCTAAAGAGATGCAGGATGTGTGAGAGGTTGAGAAAGACCGCTGAGGCCAATTGAAAGGAGAGTCAGACGAGGCAGGGAGTAGATGTTGAAGGGTGGTGGAAATCTGTTTCGGGGCAGAAGTTAATTCGTCCAGGGCACTTCTGCGGAAAAGCCGCGTTCCGCTGGAGCTTACCTTAGGTCAGGCTAGCGGTTCAAGAGGACGAATTGTAATTCGTAAGTAGATATTGAGTTGTTGAGTAAGGTATGAACTGGGAGATATGCTGATAGCTGTGTGATTTGCATGCGGAGTAAAGTAGAAGATTTTATACTGTGTATAGCTTCTTGTGGGTGGATGGGAGGTCCTGCGCAGTACGGGAGATGGAGTAATCGATTGAGTGGATTTTGTGAGGGTGAGCAAAACGGAGCTTTAATTGATTAGTGCAAAACTGGAGAGCGCCAAGCAAGAGCGCCAAGCAAGAGCGCCAAGCAAGAGCGCCAAGCAAGAGCGCCAAGCAAGAGCGCCAAGCAAGAGCGCCAAGCACCTGCAATACGGCGCTAGGCGAGGCTGGTGAGGCCGTCTGAAAGCGGCTTCCTACGAACCTATGTACTGACTGTACGCAAAGAACTCACAGCCGGCTTCCTGTAGCAGTGCAGTTCAGCACAGCATAAATGGCCGGTCAAATCATCGGCTTTCTTCGATGAAGCATCCTCTTTTGCACTCACTGCCTTCAATACTGCGACTGCCCGTGTCACCAGGCTATGAGAGCCATGCAAACCCTTTCCAACTCCCAACGCCCAGAGAAGAAAAGGCCCGCCGTGGAACCATCCAACCCACCTCCAACCGCAGCAGCACCTGAGCCTAGTTCTCAAACACAATCGGGCGCACGAACGTCTTCCGGCTCGTCAAGGTCATCGACGTATAAAAAAGCCAACGTATGTTTTATGGCCTTTCCCTTAGATGTTGGAGGGTAACAATGCCATTGGAACGTCTACACCTGACTAACATTGTACCTCGTCATTAGCCAGGCCAACAGCTTTCCCAGATAGAGAAGAGCGTTACCCACTTACTCATAGCCACAAAACAGCTACTGGAAACGCTCACGCAGTGGTCACGAGACAATGCAACCGAGGGCGATGTCTCAGATGTTTATGTCCGCCTCGGATATGAATTCAACATTGCATGCCGCGCTTTCAATAGTATCGGCGTCGATACCGCCGATCTTGGACCGGTGCCAGAGCTTCTACGGACAATTCTTGAGGAAACGCTGAGCCAAGAAGCCAATCCAGCAAGCCTTGACCTGTTTCTACCCCAAATACGCGACATCATCATCGGTCTTCTCCATGGGTTGAAAAGGAAGCAGTCGAGATTGAGATCAAAAACTAGCAAGGAGGGTGGACCGAGTGGAGCTGTCAGCAGCCTTGGCTCGACCGGTAGCGCTAGTAGTCTCAATACAGGCTTGACCCAGATGTTGGATGACGTTCCCACCCGGAGATCAGGTGTGCAAAGTCCAGAGCGGCGCGCTGGCAGTGGAAGTACTTTAAATGGACACATGATTGGTGGAGAAACAAGCAACGGAGAGGACCAGAGTGTCCCCCCACGCTTTTCCTCTATACAACCGACCCGTCACAACAGTGGCGGCGGTCCGGGAGACAACACACTGAGTCGAAACTCCAACCGTGAGAGCCAGAGGCGCATGCCCACGTCTTTCTCGGACTCCTCTTTCTCAAGCACCGCTTCGCAATCCACGTCTGTACTGTCACCGCCTTCCGATGGGGAGACGCTACCTAGTCACCAAACCGCGGCTATACACCGACCAGCATCTCAGTCCCAGTCCCAGAGGGACACTCTTCCAAATATGCAACCGCCTCCTCCACCTCCACCAAAACAGCAAGATGCCTTGGCCGCATTGCAAAGAGGAGGTGACCTAGAACGAAGAGCTTCGAGACGCTACTCAGCCTATCAGATATCAAGGCACCTTGGAGCTTCCCCAAATGGCGTTCCTATGCTACCCCCAGCGCAGAACTCTCCAGTCCCCAATCGAGGCAGAGATGTTAGAGAGTCGATGAACGCTGTGCGAGTTCGGGGTTCAGGCATTCTGAGCCGGCAGAAGTCTGTCAAGGAGCCCTCACCAGTCAGGAATAATATATCCGCGAACCGTATATCTGAAGAGAGCAGCCACAGCAACGAGGCCCAAGAGGCACGTCCGCAAGGCGATGTGCAGAACACTGATGGCCTGAGCTCCAAGGCAGCTGACGGCCCATCCGGACCGGCTACCAGAAGCCCTGATACTGATCATCCCAAGATGCGTGCGACTCTAACAAGCCCACCCGATGGGTTGCCGGCTTACAACACGGCTGACGCCGGCGACTTAGAATCTATCAAGCGCCTTCCACGAGCTACGGCCGATGGAAAGAGCAGCTATTCTCAGCCTGTCGATGGCGATCAGACGAGTCAAGACTTTGTGCCAGAGCAGTCCCCGCAACCAGGCAAAGAACTCACACTATTCCTGCAGTATAAGTCGCAAATTAAAAAATTCCTCCTTCCAGAGGGCTCGGACGACTTGTCTATGGCAAGGTTACAACTTGCATTCATTGAGAAATTTGCTTGGAACACCCACAATAATGGGAATGACCTGCCCGAGATCTATATCCAAGACCCTGTGTCCGGCGTACGGCATGAGCTAGAGGATCTCCGGGACGTGAAGGACCGGTCAGTCTTGGTGTTGAACGTGGAAGTATTGGATGAAGTAAAAAGACACATCGATGAAGGCCTCGGAGGCTTGCGAAAAATGGTTGAGGGCGTTCGCAATGCAGTTGACGGGCAGCAAAGTGCCTTGCAACGAGTTTCTGAGCGTCAGCAAGACACTACCAGAGAAATGGCGCGCCTCTCTATCACCCCTAAGGTAAATCCAGCTCCAATCAGGTCTTTTGAAAAGCCGAAAGTCAACGGTATTCAACTATCAACATCCCCAAAAGCTCCGAAAGTGCCAGCGAATCAGATCACAGGCATCCAAGATCTACGACAAGATCTCGCGGTTGTTCGTCAGACGTTCTCATCCCTTGTATCAGATATGAATAGTTCCATGGCCACAGTGCAATCTAATGCATCATCAATCAAGACGATGGCCATTGAAGGAGTGCTGCCAGGCCTGGATGATTCAACAGGCCGAGCATACGTTAACTCAGGCAAGAAGAGCCTAGGTGAAGAGTCAGAGAACATTGTCAATCGTGTCGACGATCTTCAGGATATTGTGGAAGACCTTCGTAAAGATGTGGTCATGCGTGGTGTTCGACCACTCCCACGTCAACTGGAGAAAGTCAGCAAGAGCATCAGCACAGCGACTGCGGATCTTAAGAAGATGCAAGAGTTCCTTAGGCGAGAGAAACCCATCTGGACAAAGATCTGGGAAAAGGAACTTGAGCTTGTATGCAATGACAGAGACCTTCTGACAATGCAAGAAGAGCTCGCTACGGACTTGGAAGACGATCTAGACAAGGCCACGCAGACGTTTGCTTTGGTCGAGCAGGCCACCAAGCAGCAAAATCTGCAATCCGGTCAAGGCAGTGCTGTTTCTTTACGTAGTACCTCCAAAGGATTGGCAGCAATTTCGACAGACCAAGTCATGGATCCCATGAAAGCTAAAGACGGAGTTCTAGGAGAGGTCAGAGCTCTACGGCCCAACCACGAGACGAGGCTTGAAGCAATTGAGCGCGCGGAGAAGGCAAGACACAGAGAGCTTGAGACCCGGCAAGAGGGTGAGTTCACAAAGGAGCTTGGAAGTTTCGTAGAAGAGGGAAAGCTCAAGAAAAGCGGTGGCGTGGAGGAAGCCGAGAGGCTGCGAAAGGCAAAGGATGACAAGAACAGACGAGAAGCATGGGAGAAGCAACAGGAGATGGCAGCGAGTAAGAGCAAGAACGCAGAGAACGCCCCGTCGGCATCAGAACGACTAAGCGACCCCCGTGCGAATGAGGACGATTCTACCAGTCACGAGCAGGACGCATCGGACGCATCGGAGAGACCTGCTGTGGAGGAGCAGGTCGCGCCTGTAGAAGAAGGTGAGCGTGGATTGCCATCATACTCAAATAAAATTCTGCTAATAAAGTCTTCAAGAGTCATCGAGGCGGACTTCGTGGCTACCAGCAATTTTCACATCATGACATGATTGATCCTTTGTCGTATGACTACTTTCGAGGCAGTCACTTTACCTTCTGGATTGCTTGTCTCAGCCTCCCGTTGCACACGGTTCAAGCGAAGGCGTTCTCGGTGTTTGACATGAAGCTCATACCCATCGAAGCTTCTACGAGCATGTCCAGTAGATCTTATATATTGCAAATCTAGCTCTGCAGGGACTTGCTCTCAGTCTGTAGTTTGAAGCATTGACTTGTATTGAGCCGAACGGCATTATGAATTTCCTAGTCTGATGGATCAAGTCCACGCGCTGAGCTCAAGAGATTCGTAGCGTGCACTCGAATCTCGAGGAAAGCATTGAGCATAAGAGGATTCTTCCAGGTGCAAGGAGAATTACCATCGGTGTATTGGTGTATTGGTGTATTAATTAAATCACCGTGCCCACAATCTTGGCGCTGGAACAACCAAATCAATACACACTCAAGATCCTGATGACCAGCGCTTTGGAGAAGAATTTGGAATAGCGCGGCCACAGATAGAATAGAAAGCTCGAAACCTTTGACCACGTTCTTCTTCGATAAAGCTCCAGCGGTGAAGAGCCGTGATTTCACCATACCAGTTATTTAATGTCATTAATACCGCCCCGATACACCGGTAATCTAGATTAGGGCTTCGCTAAACTATGATGCCTCGGTCCTCGGCATTGCCAGACTCTTGGCATTAAGGTCGAGATCACCACTTACGATCTTTTTGTTCTCATACCCCCAATCCCTTCTCATACGCAGTTCCCAAGACACAAAAGAAAAGCAGGATCATATATTTTCTATGGCACCTCCAGTACGTATTTTCCGAGTCCATGTCTCGTCTTCTGGACCAGATCTTGACCTTTGAGACATGTCTGGAGAGTGTATACTCTGTAGACTTGTTTCAAAGCTCAACATACCCTCTCAGATAGGCAATACTGACTCCGAAACTACAACCTAGTGGGTGAAGAAGCTCACACCTTCTGGCCCTCAGGGTTCAGAGCTCCTCGAGCAGGAGCGAGCTCAGTCCAATGTCCCCGTGAAGAAATTATCGGAATTCCTGTTTTCTAAGGAAGTGCTCGCAAGGCAGGAAAGAGTTTTGGATATTCTCAAGACGGAGAAAGTGTTCAACAAGTCCCTGAATTACTTCGATGGCAGAGAGGCAAGATTCCAAACTGCTCTTGCTCGAGCGAAGCGGATGCGCCAACTTGCTGTTCAGCACCGCTGGTCTCAGGACGAGTACATGATGGCATCAGAATTGATCAGCGAGCCAGGTCCATATGGTTTGCACGCCAGCATGTTCCTGGTTCGTCTACACCCTTACGTTTTGTTGTATTACCATCGTATCCTAATTCTTTCCACAAGATCACGCTTCGAGACCAAGGAACTCCTGAACAGCATGAGTTATTCCTCAAAAGGGCCGAGGAATATGAATTCATCGGATGCTATGCACAGACCGAATTGGGTCATGGTTCAAATGTGCGAGGCTTGGAGACCACTGCAACCTGGAATTCTGACGACAAAATCTTTACCCTACATTCGCCTCACCTGACAGCTTCAAAATGGTGGATTGGATCAATGGGGCGAACAGCCAACCATGCGGTCGTCATGGCGCAATTGATTATCGATGGCAAGCCCTACGGACCACATCCATTCGTCGTTCAGATAAGAGACATGAAAACACATGAGCCTTTGGAGAACATACACGTTGGTGACATTGGGCCTAAATTTGGATACAATACGATGGACAATGGCTTTCTGTTGTTGAACAATGTCAAAGTCCCGCATGCTCACATGCTCGCGAAATTCTCAAGCGTGGACCCGAAGACAAACAAATACGTTAAACCTGCATCAGCTTCCCTAGTCTACGGCACCTTGGTAAGTTATTTTTGCCAGCTTCTCCTGATTCGTACTACGTTTTGAGTTACAGAACTTATCGCAGTAGTACAAATATTCCGAGATCTGTTTCACGACTCAGATTTGATCCCAGAAGAGATCTGCTGACCCCAAAACTACGTAGACTTGGGTTCGAAGCACTATAGTACTCCAATCCGGTGGAGTACTTGCTCGTGGAGTCACGATAGCAACCAGATATGCGGCTGTCAGACGGCAATTCCAGGACCGAGATGCTAAAGAGTCTGATATTGGCGAAAACCAAGTACTCAACTACACAATGGTCCAGGTTCGACTTCTACCCCTTCTTGCTGCCACGTTCGCATTGCATTTTACTGGTCGTGGGATGATGGCTCTCTACCAAGAAAACCAGAAGAAAATGGCCGGCGATGTAGGGAAGGTGTCGCATACTGGTCGAGGGCCTAGTCCCGAAGAATTGTTCCCTTCTACGGACTTGCTTGCAGACCTACATGCAACGTCATGCGGCTTGAAAGCCTTAGCAAGTACAACAGCGGCTGAGGGTCTTGAAGTCTGCAGAAGAGCCTGTGGGGGCCACGGCTATTCCAGCTTTAGTGGTATAGGTACATGGTATGCTGATTATCTCCCAACGACGACATGGGAGGGAGACAACTATATGTTGACGCAACAAGTGGCGAGGTATCTGTTAAAATCGGCACGTTCTGTCCTCAAAGGCGCGAACCCGTCAGAGAACGATACTACTCAGATATTTCGCACGTTCCTATCGAGACGCGACCTGGGAGCTGCATTCGATATTCTTGGACAGGACGAAGACATCGTTGCAGCCTTCGCTTGGCGAACTTCATTCCTCACCTTCGAAGCGCTCAAGCACCGCGACGAAGAGAAAAACAGCTGGAATAGCTTGCTCGTCGACTTTTGGCGTCTCAGTACGGCTCACTCACAATACTTGATCGTCAGAAATTTCCATGAGGCGTTGCAGTCCGAGTCTATGGTGTCTGAGCTAGGCCTTGAGACAACTGCCCTTATGCAGAAGCTCTTCCGTCTTTACGCTTTACACACTCTAGAGCGAGAGGCTTCAGAGTTCTTCTCCTCAGGCGCCGTTACAGTAAGACAGATTCAGCTGGCAAGAACGAAGACAGTCATGAAACTGCTTGAAGAGATCAGACCGCATGCAATACGGCTCGTAGACGCATGGCATTTTCCGGATTGGGTTCTCGACAGCAGTTTAGGGAGGTACGATGGGAAGGTCTACGAGGATTTGTTTGAGAGAGCGAGCGAAATGAATCCTTTGAATGCTTTGACGATTGATCCGTACCCAAATAGTGAGGTTCTGATTAAGAAGGACGAGAGAGAAAAGTTCAGGAGTAAGCTTTGACGGGACCAATGGTCATGATGTACAACTATGTATCAGCAGGAAAGATTAATGTACATACATACCTTGATGCAATATCAACGCCATGAATTCGAGACACGACGATGTAGCCTTCTCTTGAAATCTTCTTGAGATATATGACATATAAAGAATGAGGTTTAAGTAGAGGCGTTGTACTCCAATGTTACCTTCCCTTTTGAGGGTATCAAAGCCTAGCGTGATCCCCGCTTCTTCATACGAACACCAAGCTCATCCTACCATCAACAAAACCTCTTCTTCCGCAAACTCTGATGGTACTTTACCCCTCACCTTGTCGTTGCTGCTCAACTGTAGTCAATACCATGACTGCGGAGACATGGATCGAATGAAGCGGGCATTATCTCTTTCTGTAAGGTCTTCCCTGAGAGACTCCACACACATGACCCAACACATGTACTGGAGGGCCTCGATCATCATATTCACCATGTTCATTTGCCCTAGCACTCTTGGCAACTGTTTGCTACGATGCCGAGCATGTATAGAAAGGGCGCTCTTCCTTTGTCCCTCTTGGTGCCACCTTCTTGCCCAGTTGATGATGCCATGTATGCATGGTGGCTTCCCTATATAATGCTCAACAACAGCGAGATTTAAACTAAGCGCAACCTTTACTTCAAGTCTTCTGTGCTGATAATCGGACCGCCGATTGTTCTCAAGATGCTGTCGCTCCCTCTCTTCATCCATTTCGCTGCAGCGGCAAACCTCATTGCCCAAATTCCTCTCGTCGACTCCTTTCCCTTTGACCATAATGAAGAACGCGCCACCGCTTCCCTGGCGAGCTTCATCGCCTCCGAGGGTCCAATTGCCCTACAAGGGGTTCTCAATAACATTGGATCTGGGGGCGCATTGGCTCCTGGGGTAAAATCAGGCTTGGTTGTAGCAAGTCCTTCAAAGGCGAATCCGGACTGTCAGTGTGTTTCATCATTGAATCAGCAACTCTCATACCCTTCTCCTGTCTTAAGCTCTCTTGTCCATGTTTGAATGAGATTACATACCATTAAAGAAAGAATTCAGCCCTCGATACACTTTCTTATGGACCGCTCCAACCCTTGACACCCCGCTGCTCTATGAAACCTTCTTCTAACACGAGATACTTTTCTTGACTATGTCCCTTTGATATAAGGCAAGAGACTTATAGGACCTTTAGATTTTTACACTTGGACAAGGGATTCTGCGTTGACATACAAAGCCTTGGTCGATGCGTTCATTGCCGGCAATTCTAGCTTGCAGTTAGAAATCGAAAATTACATCTACGCTCAAGCTCAGCTTCAAGCGGTCTCGAACCCTTCAGGTGACCTGTCCAATGGTGCTGGGCTCGGTGAGCCCAAATTCGAAGTGTAAGCAACCTGCCCAGCCCTTATTTCCTAGTCCATACTCTGACTCCTTGCAGAGATGGTACTGCATTCACAGGAGCTTGGGGTCGGCCTCAACGTGATGGCTCAGCACTGCGAGCCACAACACTCATAGCTTATTCGAGATGGCTGATTGCGAATGGGGGCACTTCCACTGTAACCTCAACGATTTGGCCAATCATCTCCAATGATCTTAATTACGTCGCCCAGTACTGGAATCAGACCACTTTTGACCTCTGGGAAGAAACCGACGGTCTGTATATTTGTCTCCCTACTCTAGACCACTTTACCATTTGCGAGACATGTTGAGGGGGGAGAGCTGTATCCCTTCGAGCTGTATCATTCATGGCTCGGGGGTCTTGCCTGGAAGGAGGAATGCTGACTCCGAAGTCTCTACAGGCTCGTCTTTCTTCACCACAGTAGTCCAACATCGCGCCCTGGTCGAGGGAAACACCCTCGCAGGACAAATCGGTCAGACATGTAACGGCTGCATCCTCCAAGCTCCTCAAATCCTTTGCTTTTTGCAAAGCTATTGGAATGGCCAATATGTCCTTGCGAACATCAACGATGACAATGGCAGAAGTTCCAAGGATGTCAACACGATCTTGGGCTCTATCCATACATTTGATCCGTCTGCTGCATGCGATGACAGCACCTTTCAGCCTTGCTCCGAGCGGGCTTTGGCCAATCATAAAGTCACAACGGACTCCTTCAGGAGTGTCTTTGCCATCAATTCTGGTATTGCTGAGGGTTCGGCCGTTGCAGTTGGCCGGTACCCCGAGGACATCTACCAAGGGGGTAACCCCTGGTACGTCTCTTAGAAGTAGAAATGATGCTTGAATGTTGAAATAGAGATAACATGCTTCCAGGTACCTCGCCACACTGGCAGCCGCAGAACAGCTCTACGACGCCCTTTACCAGTGGAACAAGACCGGATCTCTCAGCGTTACCGCAATCAATCAAGCTTTCTTCAAAGACTTCCTGCCTTCCGTGGCAATAGGCACCTTTGCCTCCTCCTCACCAACTTTCACGACTTTGACGACGGCCATCAAGACTTATGCGGACGGATATGTGGGCATTATCGAAACGTATACACCATCCAACGGAAGTCTAGCAGAGCAGTTCTCACGCAGTAACGGCTCCCCTCTGTCAGCGGTCGACTTGACATGGAGCTACGCCTCCTTCCTCACAGCCGTAGCCCGTCGCTCAGGCCAGATGCCTGCCTCATGGGGCGAGCTAAACGCCAATACCGTCCCATCCACCTGCTCCGCTACCTCAGCCCAAGGTACCTACAGTACCCCCACCGCTACTGCACCCTTACCACCATGTACCACCGTTTCTTCTGTAGCTATAACCTTCAACGTCGCCGAGGATACAACATTCGGCGAGACGATTCTTCTTGCTGGCTCGATCTCCCAGCTCGGTAGCTGGAACACGGCAAACGCGGTTCCACTCTCTGCGACTGATTACCAGATTGAGTATCCGAGATGGTTCGTTACTGTGTCTTTGCCGGCGGGGACGACGTTTCAGTATAAATTTGTTAAGGAGGAAAGCAGCGGGAGTAGTACGTATGAGGTACGTGCATTCGGAGTCCGTACTGGTTTTTTCGGCTCCAATTCTTAGCCTTGAGACATGTCTCGGGAATTAATACTCCGAAGATATATCCCAAGACTGGAAACCCCTTCTTGAAAGAAAAAAGGCTGACTCCGAGATCATTACCAGGATGGGCCGAATAGGAGCTTTACGGTTCCGACGGGGTGTGCGGCGGCGGTAGAAGTGCATGACGTTTGGCAGTAGCATCAAGAAAAGGAAGGGCAAGGCGATGGCTTTGATGGGAGGAAGTGTAATAATCCCGGCGGAGTATGCCCTTGTAGGTCTTCTGAGGGTCTGGAGAAACTGTGGTTGTATTCCTACACGATTCTTAAGAACCTTGGGGGGTATCAATAAATAACAGACTTGACATTCTGTGTCACCCAGTACATGAACCGTCGCATTCCTCGCTATGCAAACCAGAAAACCACCCGCGATTCCCAAGTCAGTACTCTTCAAACTTATGACACGATCAATGCTACCAGACCAAGGAGCCCAATAGCCACCCAGCTCCTCACATCTGCTCTTTCTGCACCATTATCCTTTGCGACCTTCGCAGTTCCAGTCGCGCCACCCTGCACGACAACTCCTGTAGCCGTACAACTCGTCCCACAAGCATAGCCGCTAGGACAACACCCACCCCCCTGCCCGCTCGCGCAGGAGAACCACCCCTGGGCACATCCACTGGCTCCTAATCCCACCGCTGCTCCACCAGTGCCGCTGGGCACTGCTACTGTGACGCCGTCACTATTCACAGCAAGTGTTGAGGAAGGGAGTGGGCACGAGGTTAGGCTGCAGTCTCGACCGACTTGGCAACAGCCGGCGTGATAGTAGGCGCTGCATTGAAAGTAACCTGTTGGACATTGGGAAGTCGTGACCGTCACGGCGGAGGCTGTTGTCGTCGTGGTAGGATCGGCAGATGAGGTTGGACGGATTGCTGCGGCAGGGGAGCTAGTAGACTGGGTTGTGGAGATAGAGGACGAATGAGAGGGAGAAGCGGTCACGGTTGAGGTGGTCGAGGTTGTAGCCGTAGAGGTGGACGTGGACGTTAGAGGGACGGCGGGAATGAGATCGGGCGTGGTTGAGGAGCTGGACGTAGACGATATAGAAGAGCTTGCGGGAGACTCGGTTACCGTAGGCTCGATTGTTGAGGTCAATGTAGTGCCAACAACGCCTTTGCGAGTCGATGGTTAGTATCATGCAGGATCTGGGGGGAGCGAATGGTCAACTTACAACCAACACCATCACAAACGCTGCCTGGGATGCAACACCCGCCGCCTAAGCTGTCGGGACAGACGGAATCTTCTTCGGGGCAACCCGACACCTCCTCTCCGCAGACTTCTCCAGGATTACAGCAGCCCACGTCTCCCAGTCCTGAGTCCGTTGTGAGCTGACAAACTAGGCCCGCTGCACAACAGCTATACGGGCGATTAATCGAGGAACAGTCAGAAGTACCGCCAGGACAAGCAAAAGCGCGAGTATCGAGGGCGAAGATATCCCTAGGGGATCGAAGCAGACGGCTAAAGAGAGGCCGGGAGTTGAGTTGGTGACTAGTATGGAGAGAGAAGGGAGCTTGCAGTGGTTGTGGTAGGGATGCGTTAACCCAATCCTTGAAGGTTGGTTCATCTTCCAGAGGTCCCAAAGAGCGTGGTATAGGTCTCCTTCTGTCCAACGCAAGCTTCGACTCGCTATTGATCTCTGCTTCGAATTGCCAGTACTCAGGAAAGAACATTTCTCCCTGGTCGCCACTCATTTTGCGCACCGCAATCGAGACCCGAGTCGTGTGAGGTGTGATTGCGATTCCATCGCTTCTTTTCAAAGATTCATGCCCAGAATTGGTCGTCAAGAAAGGTCGAAGGCCAAATGGCCAAGAGTTATCGAGGGCTTGTGTGACGGTCGGAGCTGTAGCGATAAATAAGAGCAACGAAGCTGGAATAAGCTGAAGGGCAGCTAGAGGAAGCATTTGTGCTCGTATGAATCTAATTGTATGGGGGACAGTAGCGTTTGGCCGCTGGTAGGGGAGAAAGACGGATGCACCAGCGATTTGATTCTGGCGAGACGCTGTAAAGTTGAATGCAGTCAGTATATGGGGTCAATACGTGTACATCCACTCTGCTGTTCAAATGGTTCAGATGAACAGAGATGATTCCGTATGCAGATGAATCAGAAGGAAAATGGTTCATCATGAAAAACATCAGCAGTACTGTTAATCAACTGTCAACATCAGGTTTCTGTTTGGATAAAAAGCGGCTGGTAGATAGTTGCAGGCTGGGAGGATCTTATCGCCGACATCCCCGCGGATCATAAGTCATAATTTAGGGCTGACAATATCGCCCTAAAGCTATGCTCTTTTCGGCAATATTGAAACATTGACAGTCAGGTCGCAGGACCATGACCTTCCCTACCCCAATGGAAAGCTACCAGTAACTCTGTGATCTTTTCGTTGAACTATCTTTCCGTGTTGTGATTTCATTCAGATTCGGCATACTCGATGTACCGTGAAAAGCCTTGGGCGTGCTGTCTCTGCAATCACTGAAATGTTCTTCCTTCGCATTTGCGCCAGCTTTCCACATAGTCGGAAGGAGCATCCACTCCCATACAAGCCTTAGCCTTATTGAAATATACTGGGCTTTCCATCCGTCTTGCGTACAAAACATCCGAAAAAGCATCCTCTCAAACCTGCACAATGGCTGGGCCCCCTTACCCCTCTGCATCGACCTTCGTCCTCAACTAATGCAGATTACTCTCCTGCTGCTTCTCGTGGCGCCTCTAGCAGGCCTCGCGGCGCCAATCGAGAAGCCATCCTCTCCTTACCACCTTGTCAATGCCGAAGCCGTTCCTAACGAATTATCAGCCACCTGTTATCGCCGCTGGCGGCATCATGGTCATCTCACTTTTCGTCTTGCTCGTGTGCAGCCTTGCAGTGGACGGACTGACCAGAAAGATTCCTCCGCAAGCACGAATGTGCATACCAAATTTCTTCACAACAAACGTGCCATTCCGTGGGTCGGATGAGGTCAAATCCCATGCGGTTCTCACACTGTGTGGCCACAAGCAAAACCACTGTGCGACATTTGGCCATACAGTAGGAATTCGAGGATTTTGGTTCGTCCATTGCTTCTGACTGATGGTTTCTTACAGGAGACATGCTGCCCGCCAGACACGACCTGTCGCGGCTCATCGCAAACATCCTCTCACGTCTTCTGCTGTCCTAATGCCTTCTCTTGCTCTGAGAACATGGATCAACGCCCTATGCACATGCTCGAATGTCCCGCCTCTGTTGGCGGTGGCTGTTGCGCCACTGTCTTGCGCTGTGCATCTGACCTGTGCTTCGAATATCACTATAAGACTTCGGCGGTGTTCCAACCCTTTCCCATTCACAACAGTACATCCTCCGATTTCCAAGGCTTCTATGATGGCGTCAGCCTGGTCACTATGGGCACTTTGCAAAAGTCTTTTCCACCCAGCAGCCTCTCTGATGATAGAACCGTACCAACATATGCATTGCAAAATTGCCAGCCAGAGGACATTGGTCAGAAGGGTCAGGACTTGCCAATCAGCGACAAAATTCTTGGAATCCCCACGGCCTGGAAAGCGAAGATTAGCGAAATCGCCATGAAAAGTCAGGCTGAAGAGAACTGGGATGGCAAGAGTGGGAAAAGAAGATTGCGCAGACTTGGATGCGTCGTTATGGGATTGTCAGTGATCACCGTGGTCATGTTCGTGTTTTAGAGACTTCAAAGACAGTCCTTACGCTAGGAACGACGGTAGAACAAGAACGAAGAAGAATGAAGAAGACTGATCAAACGAGCAAAAAAGTGTGTAATTAGTCAAGCTGCCGAACCACTGTTCTGCTTCCTGAACGAGACTTTTTCCACGCCAACAGTCTCCACACCGCTTGCATCAGTCTTCAGCTGATATACATAGAGCACCAGGACATCACCTTGCACCTAGATATTGTCAGCTCTCCTTTCTCCACATAAACCCGCTCCATCGCGACTCACATCCATCAAACAAAAGCTCGGCACGGGCTCTTCCCCTTCTGCCCACCACCCTGTCCCCAGCGCCCCCGTTGCACTTCCCGGATTCACAAAGAACTTTCCTTCAAGCTCATACGCCTCAAATTTGTGTGTGCCTCCCCATAGTAGAACATCGACATCCATATGTCGTGCTGCAATCAACAAGCTATCTGCATCACCCGGCGGTATTATCGTGTGCCCATGCGTGAAGCCAATACGTAGGGAGCCATGTGTCACAACTTTTGAAAGAGCAAGGTTGGGTGCTTCGACGTCAAAGTCACCCTTGACGATCTGTAGATCTGGGGCTATGCCCCGAAGGAAATCGTAGGTTTCTTTGTCGGTGAGATTGCCCAGGCAGAGGATTTGGCCAATTTTGTTTGGTGCAAGGAGCTTTTTGAACTGGCGAAGCGGAGATTAGTAGGGAGACGAGGAGAGCGAGTAGTATAAGGGCGTACTTTGGCCGGGATGTCCTGTAAAAAGATCAGCCCATGGATACTTGCGGGCGAGACTTTAGGATGTGTTTCCGTACTGGGGCTCGGTCTGGTATGAAAAGGTCACCGAGGACCAGTACCAGTCGGGAGGTCATTGTAGCTTTGTAGCTCTATCATTGGCTCTTTGAAGGTCGAGATATCGTTACGTCCGAGGAGGAGGCTGCCTGCTGACTTCAACGCGACCTCATGCCGACTTCGGATGGTAGATGTCCTCAAATAGATAGCATTACTTGTGGAGTCTGCTTCAACAAATACTAATGGGCGTGTTGAGCTGCAGTGTTAATACAGGTACATGAATAACATCCAACATCCCTGCCGAAAATCTTTCTGCGGGGAATCCAGACCTCGATGTGCCTGTCGTCACGGGATGAAAATCTTCAATGTCTGTTCTCCCCAATTCTGTACGAATTACTACATCAAAATCTTCTCGAATCAGACCCTCTCATTCGAGTCATTCAGCACTGAGCGGACGTCATCCTGGCCGCGAGATTCCCCACTCTCCTCTGCCGACGACCCCTCCATTCTTTAGCTCTGGCTCCTCCACGCGCAAGACTCTCGATAATATCGAGGCACCTTGAGCAAAGGCCCCTTCTAGAGATCAATACTCCGTTTTCGACCGAGAGACAAGCAGGCAAGCAAGACGACCTTGAGTATACACCGATCCGGAGAGACCCACCAAAATCCGCTTCACCAGAAGATCGAAGAATCAACATGTCAAATCAAGCAGAACATCCTGCTCTGTTGATTCCAGGGCCAATTGAATTTGATGATGCTGTGCTTTCATCTATGGGACACTTCAGGTCCGCCAGATGTCCCATTGTAGCGACTGCCCTATACTGAAGCTCCGCAGCCAGTCCCATGTCGGGCCCCCCTTCGTCGCCACCTTCGGCGAAACTCTTACAATGCTTCGAAAGCTCCTCCAGACATCAAACCCGGCTTCTCAGCCTTTTGTCATATCCGGCAGTGGAACACTTGGTTGGGACCTAGTCGCAGCAAACCTAATAGAAAGAGGTGAAGACGCGCTTGTTCTGCACACAGGGTATTTCGCGGACTCTTTCGCTGAATGCTTCGAGACATATGGCGTCAAAGCAACACAGCTGAAAGCGCCAATTGGAGACCGACCACAGCTACCAGAAGTCGAGAAGGCGTTGAAGGAGAAGCACTATAAGCTAATATCCGTTACGCATGTCGATACCTCTACAGGCGTTCTAAGCGAGATCAAGGCGCTCTCAGAGCTAGTACACCGAGTCAGTCCCGAGACCTTGGTGGTTGTTGATGGTGTATGCAGCGTTGGATGTGAGGAAATCTGCTTCGATGAATGGGGCATTGATGCTGTTTTGACCGCAAGCCAGAAAGCCATTGGCTGCCCGCCTGGTCTTTCAATATTGATGTGCTCTGAGCGTGCTATGGCAACGTTCAAGAATAGGAAAACTCCACCGTCGTCTTACTTCGCTTCCTTCAAGAATTGGCTGCCGAGTACGTATCCCTCACATGATGCCAAAAATTTCATCTCAAGCTCATCTCAAGCTAATACGGTTGAAGTCATGCAAAACTACGAAGCAAAAAAGGCCTCTTACTTCGCAACTCCGCCAACTCAACTCATCAACGCTCTCCACACCGCTCTAACGCAAATTTTATCGCGTCCACTTTCCGAACGTTTCGCTGTCCACCGTGAAGCATCACAGCGAATCAAATCAACCGTGACATCTTATGGGCTGAAACAGCTAGCCACAAAACCCGAGAATCAAGCGAATGGAATGACGGCCATCTATCTACCAGAAGGCGTCAAAGCAGCTGACATTTTGCCCAATATTCTCAAGAAAGGAGTAATCTTCGCAGGAGGTCTGCATAAAGAAATTGCGGCCAAGTACATACGATTTGGCCATATGGGTGTCAGTGTCACAGACCCGAAGAGAGATGACATCGAGCGAGCATTGAAAGCTCTCAAGGAAGGTCTTGGTGATGCTGGCGTAAAGTTCTAGGATGCGGAGATTGTGGTGGTTGTGTATGGGCATAGTGGCATCAAAAGCAATTTGGGAATAGGATACATAACTAGAACTCGTCAAATTTACGTAAATTATCCCTTAAGATCAAATCAGTCTCTCCGTTTTCTTCACAAACTTCTGGTTTCCCTAGGGCATGGTTAAGATTCGTGAACGTCCAGCTCGATATGAGTCTAAGAGGGGTTTAGTGCAAGGGTTTTAGTGCAGTATCGATTTGACCCTGTGCCACCAACGCCTGCTCCATCTGTTTTCTGTAAGGACTTTCTGTAAGGCATCACTCAACGACGGTAAATCTAGGATAATAAGTCTCGCTTTGGTAGCAATGTCGTTAGCAACGCAGATACGGCAAACCCAAATATCGAATTGTCTGATATGGTGGTCCGCAACGGAGCGCATGCCCCTCTGATTGAGGGCGACGAGCATGGATTCTCTGGTCATGCTGAGGATGATATTTTCAAAGAAAGCGATATCACATCACCGAGTGCCTTTATATGGGCGCTTACCTTTGCTGCTGGTATCAGCGGCCTCCTCTTTGGTTACGATACTGGCGTCATTTCCTCAACCCTTGTTTCGATCGGCAAGGATTTGGGGCATCCCCTGACAACTCTCGACAAAGGTTTGATCACCTCCTCTACGAGTCTGGGTGCTCTTATTGCCAGTCCCGTCGCCGGACTACTGGCTGATAGGATTGGACGGAAGCCAATCATCTTGATTGCAGATGTCCTCTTCATCACTGGTGCTTTGAGTCAGGCTGGCATTACCTCAGTATTTGGCATGGTAGTAGGGAGAAGTATCGTCGGCTTTGCCGTTGGGGGAGCAAGCCTCGTGGTCCCGCTGTATATCTCCGAGCTCTCGCCCTCACCTTTCCGGGGAAAGCTGGTCACTCTAAGCATTTTGTTCATTACCGCAGGGCAGGTCGTGGCCTATATCATAGGGTACGCTCTCTCTATGCAGAGGAATGGCTGGAGATGGATGGTAGGCTTAGGAGCTGTGCCCGCGGTGTTGCAGTTCGGACTGATGCTTGTACTACCCGAAAGTCCAAGGTGGTTGGTTAAGGATGGGAGGTCACCGCAAGCTCGCAACGTACTTCGGAAAGTCTATGCCGCTGGGAAAGACCACGCCGTTGAGGAGGTACTGCATGCCATAAAGACAGAGATAGTGGAGGAAGAAGCCACAAATAACAATATGTCTACTTCTGCAATGGGGAACCAACCTCATACATGGCTCACTCGGCCACGGAACAGATTCGCCGAGCTGTTCTGCGTCGGTGGCAACAGAAGAGCGTTGACGATTGCCTGCTTGCTCCAAGGACTGCAGCAGCTATGTGGCTTCGTATGGCGGTCTCGCTACGAATATTGAGACTTTGTAACTGACTTCGTACAGAACTCTTTGATGTACTTTTCGGCAACCATCTTCTCACTCTTAGACTTTGACTCCCCAACTTTGACGTCTTTGTCCATTGCTGTCACCAACTTCGTCTGCACTTTACTTGCTCTCATAACAATTGACCACGTCGGTCGTCGACGCCTCTTGTTGCTCTCGATACCCGTGATGGTCGTGGGTCTCATTGCAAGTTCAGTCTCATACGAATACCTTGGCCATCCTAGCTGGGTTCACAGCCCTGCCAGCTCAACGCCTGGTGTCGCTCAAAGTCCTTGGGCTGTGGTCATCCTCATTGCAATTACCATATATGTCTGTGGGTACGCAATTGGACTCGGAAACATCGCCTGGCAGCAAAGCGAGCTCTTTCCATTGTCCGTTCGGTCCTTGGGGTGTGGACTTGCAACTGCTACGAATTGGGGTAGTAATTTTGTTGTTGGCCTCACTTTTCTGCCAATGATGGAGTATCTCACGCCGGTCTGGACATTTGCAATATACTCTTTGATTTGCATCGTTGGGTGGGTGTGCTGTTGGGCAATTTATCCAGAGACCAGAGGATTGGGCCTGGAAGATGTGCGAGACCTGTTAAGGGATTCGTATGGCGTCGAAGAGAGCTTGAGGAGGGCTAAACTCAGAGATGTATAAAGAAGGAAAGATTCTATGCAATCACTTTTGCACTTATCAGTCGCAGAAGCTAGTTCCTTGAGTTGAAGAACGACCTGCTTTGGACTGCAAAGCAGAGATGGGTGGGGAGATGATCGCCGCACACCCCTTTTCTTCAGTTATTCGTCCCAAGTTCTTCTACACACCCCTAGCACACCCTCTCAATCTGGTGGGTATCTTACCCTGCCGGGTGCACACTATCCGGGTCCACCGCCCGAAAATTCGTCCTTTTGAGACCCAACACACCCTAAAAGTGCGCCTTTCTTGAACAGGATCCTCCCTCGATGATGGTTTAGTCTTCAGAAGAAAGTCCCAAGCTTTGACCCGGCACCTGGGGACAGCACCCAAAGGTTCCAAGGCTAGGTTCAATTTTAAGGTAGGGGCGAAGAAAGAATTTTAGGTGTGTAGCTAAAGAAAGAGAGTATACAGCTATTACAGCCCTGGAGATGTCATTAAATGTCACTATTGAGCTCACCACCATGATAGTATATTATTAAGGAAACTACCTTCGCGGCTGAAAGCGACTACTTGAAGACCGTTTACAATGCGGCTAAGCTTCTTTTTATCTCACAAGTCTGAATTACACATTGAAGCTCTCGCTCAGGATGTATATACATAGAGTAGGCACAGACGAGTCACACAACAATAACGTATTCAGTCGGGGAGATCATTGACAAAGATTTTAGAGGAACCCGGACGATAATGGTAGCGCATCAGGGAGCGAATTGCCAAACCCAACATTTCAACCACATCGATTACCTTACGGCGTTCGTGGAAACCCAAGGATATTGAAATAAGGTGATGGGTATTGTGGAGCTGACGGGAAGGAGTCAGTAAATGTGGCTCTTGACCGCTGTAACTCTCTCAAAGCCTGTCTACAACAAGAGGCGGTATACATATCAAGCTTATCGTTTATCTAAATATGTGTTTTCTCCTTTGCTATGGTTTCGCGATTACCCCATATCCATTCATCGACCATCTCTGCTTATGTTCTCACACTCTGAGCGTCCTTAGCTGTACTTCCTGAACACCTCTGAGTGGCCCTGTCCCATTATTAAAATCACTCTCAATAGCATCATCTCCCACCAATGCCAGTTCTTCGTCGCCTCTTACATCTCCTCGAACCTGGGTATCATTCTTCTTATTATTATTGTGCAAAGCCACATATAGCGCACTACCCAAGATGAGACTGCTCCCGGCTATACCCCATGCCCCTGGCGTCGTGTTGAAAACAATCTTATCAAAAGCAAGCGCAAACAGCATCTGCGTGTAGACCATGTTGGTCGCTCGACTGCCCTTCTCATGCTGCAAGCCTGCCGTGAGTAAAAACTGCATGAGGAACCCACAGATGCCGAGGAAGACCAAATAAATCCACTGCCGCAGGTTGGCGGGCAGTTGGAAATCTATGCCTGGTACTGCAAGGAGTGCCACGGTACTCACGAGAGTGGACCAGGCTGCAAAATAGTTCACAGAGACTAGGGGATGTGCGCGCTTGCCGATACAGCGAATGGTAGTGTACGCAGAAGCTGCGCCGAGAACGCCAATGAGGGCAACTCCCACGGCACTGAGACGCTGTGCTGATGTTACATGATTGGGTCCCCAGAGGTCGGCGGGCATGGTGACGTTGGTTGAGGGTAATCCATCGCCGGCTCCACTTGCTACAGGCGGCACGTCCGAGCGATGTGGAAGTAGAGATGTGGGTCGGGCAATGAGGACGACTCCAAGAAAGGAGACTATGCCAGCGACCTGCTCATTGCCACCAAATGGCTCATGGAGGAGATATGAACAGGCCCAGCAAGCCACGATTGGAGCAAGGAAGGTGATCACCGTAGCGTCTGATAGAGGCAGGTATTGCAGTGAATCTTTAGCCTATTAGGCCATAGATCTGAGACTGAGTTGGAGTTTTCATACTCACAGTACATGCCATATACTGCTCACGGTCAGCGATTGCTGAGCGCTTTCTCCAATGGTACCTCCACTTACCTCCAAAGAATCCACCCACCCCACGTGCAATCAAGAGTCCACGGACTTCCCGCGATCCAAAGGGTGACAATTTGGCCCACCATTGATAGATGCCGCTGAGGACAAGAGTGCCAATCATTCGAGCAAACAGAATCTGCTGTGATTGTAAGACTCAGAAACCGAGAGTGTCCGGTGGAAATATCAGGAACATGGCTGGGCGTACCTGAAAGGGATGCATTCCAGGTCCAGATGTTCCAGCTGTTTCCAGTAGTCTAATTGTGACATTCATCATAACACCGAAAAGTTGCGCCAACATGACCAAGGCTAAACCTTTGTTACTGGCCCAAGATAGCCGAAACGTTTCTTTCCATGTCATCGGCGATGGTGCGGGAGAGCTTGAGAGCAATCGCCCAGCCGAAGACACGGTGAGCAGGCGTCCAGTACATCTTTCGTTCTCATTGTCTGCAGAGTAGGTAGAAAGGTCGGACAAGGTATCGGATGATCTCGCAAAAGCGGACTGAAGTGGCACATCTAGATATGGGTGATGGTTGCTCGTTTTTGCCGAAGGATTGCCGTGAACCGCTTTCGACAACGAGTTTTCTAGGACTGAGGCGGGGAAGTCTTTCTGCTCTCCCTCTCCTTCTCCTTCGACCTCGGACTTAGAGGAAGATAGGAACATGATTGCTCATCAAGCACAGCCAACACCTCGTCACACTGTGGACACATTAATACAGCAGAACTAAAAACATGAAGATGGAGAAGGTAGCACCTGACTCAACCAAGCGAGGCCGAATCAATAAACATAAGGTACCTTAGGTATCCGGCCGGTCACGGCGACGCTATCTGTACATTTGAGCACTAGAGAGCGAGAGCGGGGCTTTTGTGCGAAAATTGGGGTAGCTCCGAGTCCAAACAAGGTCCATGGATCCAACAGCTTCCTGAATGGTTCAAGTCAGCATTCCGACGGGTAGACATGGAACAGATGTTATGCGCGACGTTGTTTGAGGCACATGTGCATCTTGTCCCATTTACGGAATACTCGTCTAGAAGTTGCAGCATTGATGCCAGCATGTCGTGAGTGGGAGTAGGGCAGCGAGACGGCAATCTCACCCGACAACTCCAATACCCTCATATCTCAATTCTCGGCGACAAACATCAAAGCCAACGGTTGGAGCAACAGTGAAGGCTATGCCACACCATTCATGATGCCCACCCCTGGCTCATGCTCTCGTACGAGTATTATTGTCGGCGCGGGGCAATGGCCTGCGAAAAGGCGGCTCTGTGATTACTTTAAGGACATTATGCTGGTGACGGTACCCCGCAAACTGAATGCGCCAGGGTTCCCTAGAGGTACTCTCGTACTTTAACACAATTCTCACTTGATCCTTGATATTTTTCTTTGCCTACTCATAGTCGCATGGTCATCTGGATTTGGTTTCCTTGCTCTTTCTTGTCACAGGTGCATCGAGTCTCTCAGCTTCTTACCAGCTTTCCTTGACCACAATAACCGCCTTCCACAAAAGACAAAAGATGAAGGTCGTCACGCTCTCTAGCTCCTGGCAGGCCAGTCATGGACCGCCATACTTGTGCTTACAGAGGAAGCTGATCTTCTTCCGCGAGGCCATGCTCGGTCTTGAGTTTCCAACATGACCACAGGATGGTGACGAGAGTATAGAGCTTGCAACGCGAAGCTCTGGGTAGTGTACATTCGCTCTTTATATATAAACTTCTCCTTAATAGCTACTCGCTCTTTTCCACGCTTTACTTGCTCAAATCCTGTCCTGGCTACCACTCTGTCAGTACTCTTGCAAAGACAGCTTTGTTGGTTCCCCTCTTATACATTATGAAACCCCTGTCGCTGTTGACAGTCTTGCAGGCCGCTTGCTGGACGCAAGCGCTGCCACTTCTCGAAGCGCAGACACCAAACGACATACTCGCGGCAGGAGTGCAGAGTCTACCTTCTCCTTCAGAGGCCCCTGGTACTAGAGGGGTTAGTCTGTTCCTATTAGCCCTTGCATGGCGCTGTTTGCTGATTTCTTCTGAAGATCATCCACGTCGCGCTTGAGACGGCTGGCCATCCCCATCTGCAGCCATTTCCAACAGAAGTCATCCCTTCACCCTCCTCAACCATATCCGTTGCCACCAATAAGACCATAGCACAAGCGAAACCCTTAATTGCGGCCGCCACTGTGTCCAACGTTTTCGCCTCTCCAATCAGCACTGAAGCTCCGCCATCGGTCTTTGCGACCAGGCCGGACCACCCCGTGGGAAAACTTGGCATCGTAAGTTAGTATAGTGTTTGGGCCGATCATTAGCTTACTCAACCTTTAGACGAACCAAGGCCCCACGGAGACGAATAAGTTTTATGCGAACTTCTTCCTTGGCGATCAGCTCAACGGGGTTTGGACACACCCATACTCTCTTCTTTGGAGCCAGGGCGGTGGCAACGCATTCTCTTACGGTCTCAGCATCACCCACGACGAAGCATATCAAAGGGCCTACGGGCCCAATGCAACTGCAGACCCGGTCGAATTCTACATCAATCCGATCGGGATCCAATCGTTGATCTTCTCTGCAGCGGAGCTGGGCCCGTAAGTCTCGGTCCGTCAAATATGTAATTGGTTGCTGACTCGAGAAGGGGAATGTCTTTGACCACTGACACTTTGACTGCGTTCTCTGCGAACGTCAACCTCGTACCGAGTGGTGCTACGACCCCTGCCATCAGCTTTCCGATGGTGCAGGGCATGGGGTTTGTCACCGCAATATAGTAAGTGCTTCCATGTCCATATGTCTCTTTTCGGATTGCACTCTGAGTCCTCAGACATGTTCTGGGACGTTGCTCTCTCTATGTCCTAAGGCTCTATATGCCCCCTCAAAGAGGCAACGCTGACTCCGAAATTATGATCCAGTAATGGAGCAACTCCCTTCGTTGATACCAGCGTGTTCTTCAATGCCATAACGCCACTCGCCTCTCCTGCTGCAGGTGTAACGAAATACAAATTGCTCCTTGATGATGGCAACACATGGCTTCTGTACGCAACAGCGAATAACGGTTCGGGCCTTGCCCTCACTTTGTTGAACACCACCAGATTGGTAGCATCGGGATCTTTCTCTGGAATAATTCAAGTTGCGAAGAATCCTGGAGACGTAGCAGCTCAGGAAGCTTCATATGACAGTTCTGCTGGTGCCTACGCAACGACAGCTACACTTTCTGCATCCGTCGACGGAGCTTCTGGATCTTATTCACTGAGCTGGACCAAGGTCGCCGCTAATGGCGCTAGGCTCATCATGATGGCACTTCCTCATCACCTTCAATCTATGGACTCGACCACAAGCGCAGGTCAGACAGCAATCCAGCTCCAAACGACCACGAAGGGACTTGCTACTGGTGTTATCGGAGACTCATGGACAATGGTGGAACCGTCCATGCCTGTTGACATCGGCTTTGCCCCTTGGAATGCTAGCATTGCTTCTACCAACACCATCCCGGCTGCCGCAATGACAGCGATCGACAACGCAGGTATCAGTGACCTTTCGCAGGATATGAATGCTCAGTCGAATCTGAACAGCATGTATTATAGCGGCAAAGCCTTGGCAAAGTTCGCAGCAGCGATATACGCCGTTCACGACCTAGCCGGAGACGTTTCGACTGCCCAAGCTGGCCTGGCGAAGCTTGAGGAAGCTTACGAACTTTTCGCGAACAACACTCAAATTTACCCACTCGTGTATGAATCGCAATGGGGTGGCGTCGTATGTACGTATTTTCGGAGTTCATATTTCCTCTTCTGGAGCAGATCTTGAGCCTTGAGACATGTTTGAAGGCTCACCATATCCCCTCGGATGGGCAATGCTGACTCTGAAACTATGATCCAGCTACGGCCTCGTACATCACAGGAAACAGTGGGGACGATTTTGGAAACACCTATTACAACGATCATCACTTCCACTGGTCGTACTTTGTGTACGCTGCCAGTATTATCGCCTACCTCGATCCAGCCTGGCTGCCCGCACACCGAGACTGGGTGAATACTCTCGTACGAGATGCCAGTAACCCTAATTCTAACGATCCATACTTCCCCGTTTCCCGTAGCTTTGACTGGTATCACGGGCACTCCTGGGCTAAGGGTTTGTTTGATAGCGGCGACGGGAAGGACCAAGAATCCACATCCGAAGACGCCTTGTTCAGTTACGCAGTCAAACTATGGGGAAGGATCATTGGTGACACAGCCATGGAAGCTCGTGGGAATTTGATGCTAGCCGTTCAGAAACGTAGTTTTCAGAACTACTTTCTCCTCGAATCCACCAATGCCAATCAACCTGCTAACTTCATCGGTAACAAGAACACCGGCATCCTATTCGAAAATAAAGTCGACCACACAACCTACTTCGGCACCAACGACGAGTATATACAAGGAATACACATGATCCCAATCAACCCCTCTAGCCCTTATATCAGGAACCAAAACTTCGTGACCGAGGAGTGGAACACGTACTTCTGTGATGACTGCGTCGATCCCGTCAACAACGTTACTGGGGGTTGGAGGGGTATCCTGTATTCGAACTTGGCGCTTATCGATCCCGCCAAGTCTTGGAATTGGCTTACTGGACCAGGCTTTGATGCTCAGTATCTGGATGACGGAGCGAGCCTGACCTGGTACGTACTTTTCGGGGTAACCCCTTTCCTTTTGGTAGTAAATTGGGGCCACGATCCAGATTTCGGGAGCAGAAAGCTCCTTCGCCCCCCCAGATTTGTCTTATTACTTGGGTGAAATGCCATGTTTTGGCAGTGAAAGGATATTCTTGCTCTTCAGATATGTCTCGTTTCTCGATCTGTTACACAAAAAGGACTATACTGACTCCGAAATTTGCGTAGGTACTTGGCGCTTGCCGCGGGGATGGGAGGTGCTGGTTAGAAGTGGTGGGAAAAGAGGCGTTGACCTGATCCCTCCTTCCCCTGTATATCTTTTCCCTATTACGTGCACATTTCTTATATCACCCACGTCTTTTCTCCCGTCACACAGTTCCTCCCCTGCACATATCCATCACGTACATACTTATTCTACTCATACTTCCTTTCGCACATAGTACTACTTGTGTACATTGTTCTGTCCTTTCAACTTCTGTCACATCCGATCATGTATATAGTCGGTCTATCCTAGGTATGCACATCCTCTCCATACATTTTCAATCGATGTTCCCGTCGTGACCTTCGCAATAGCGTAGACCTGCAACGATGAATCCACACAACACCGTCTTCCGTGCGGTAGAGGCATCAGTAGCGTGGCGTACAGCATATGGGCTTCTACTTTCAGGCTTACGACGGTGGATGGTGCAAGGACTAGATGCGGCTTTACCCAACACTAGAGCGTTCTCTGAGTCGTAAGAAGCTTTATCACTGCATGGGTGGCACGACTGTTATGGGAGACTCTTTGGATCACAAAAATTCGTTAGATAGGCAAGACCTATGGATAAGTGGACAGTACACAGCCAAACACTATATGAAAGCACCCCCCGCAGTCGTGTTCCCGATATCCCCCCTCATACTCATGTTACCCGGATCACCCTGCTTCAGCCCCGCGCTCTGGCCTAACCTCTTCCCTTTCAAACTACCAATCTTGACTTGCCCACCCTCGTCGCCGCTCTCGGCACCATGGTCTGGTTTCCCATCCGTCTGCGCTCTCATCAGATAGCTCAAGCGTTGCGCGGCATTGACGTGACCACTGACTCTGAGTCGGTCAATCAACTCTTGGTCTGTAACATCCAACCTGTGGGTGCCTAACGGATTAGGGTGACCGCGCAGCCAACGCTTGTTGCCATTCTCGTCTGTCTCTTCTCTCAGATCCTCGCCGAAGCCGTTGAAGGGAGGTGCTTCGCTAGCTGCGCTGCCGAATTTTGAGTCGCTGCTAGTAGAGACCCAGCTGCTTCCTCTGCTGTTCATTCGCGAGGGGCGGCTGAAGTTTTGAGGAGAGAGGGCGCGCGCGTTCAAGTGGTACTTGATATAGCTCTTCTGGCGTCGCGGTGAGGCTGTAGAGCTGAAGGATCGGGAGGGGCTTGATCGCATTGGCGGCTCGAGGGACGAGGATTCGAAATAGGACCGTTGAAGGTCCTCTCTAGGAGGTGTGAACGGACGTTCAGACACAGCATTATTACCAGTACTGCCTGACTCAGACGAGGGTATCTGTAAGGGCGCTGTCTTCGATGCGCGAATTGAAGATATGCGGGACGATGAGGGGCCAGCAGAAAAAAGTGGATTGCGTGAACTCCGCTGTTGCAGACGGTGTTTGTGGAAAGACTGAAGAGGGTCGGCCTTGAGGAGATTGGATTGAAACCGCGAAGAAGAGCCTGATTTTCGTCTGATACTGCCTTGTGTGGGAGACAGTACTGGCCTGAGTGTTGGCTTGCGAGACCCTTCGTTATCCGGGAATCCGTGAATGACTTGGGAGTGGGAACCCTTGCCGAAAGGATTCGACGCCGGGGGCCGAGTATTCCACGGAAATTTCCCGATGGTGGCCTCTCGTTCGAGTCCCGGATTTGAAGAACCGTCCGTGGAGGCCCAGGTACTACGACTGAGATTGCGCCAGGAGTTCCGAACAATTCCAAAGCCTGGAGGTCCACTTGCAAGACCGCTGCCATGGCCTACGCCCTTACTGCTAAAACGAAGTTTGCTGCTACCTTGACTCAAAGTGTTACGTCCATGCCCAATCCCGCTGAGGCGTTGACTTGAAAAGATGCTGGCAGTATCGTAACTCAGATTCGATCCCCGTTGCTTTTGTTTCGAGTGTCTCTTGGTCGGTGATTCGTCGATTATGACAGATAGCCTTTGAACAGCCAATGTGGGTGCTTTTAGTCCACAGGATGTCATTCCGGCTTTTCGCATTGTGCGCTTCTCTGGTATATGGCTGACATCTGGCACCGTTTTTTCTTTTGTTCCTCCAGAGCAAGGAAACCCCGCAGACTCCGGCCCTGTCGAGTGCTCTGTGCTGCCGATAATACCACTTGACAGATGCGATTTTAACCCGCGGGGGCTATGTCCTGATGTCTGAAACCCTAGAAAGTCTAACCATGGTGCCTTGGACGCCATTGAAGAAGCTCTCCTTCGGTTGATGGCCAGCACTCTTGGTGTCTCTGCCCCTACCTCAGCGTTCGGAGTATCCTTTTCCAGAATCGGCCGCGATATCCTCCATTTCGGCGAGAGTAACGGACCATTGTTTGCTTTTCGTTGCCGCCTTCTCTTAAGACAGAAGCATAAGAGAAGCAACAATCCTAACCCAACGAATATTGGCACTATGACCGCTGCAGCAACCCAACGCTTTTTGGGCCTGCTGGCTGAGCTTGTTGCATTTCCGGTCTGGTTGCCCCTCGCTGTAGAGCCAGACGTAGCTTTGGGAGAAATGCTGTGGCTATATGTGGTCCGTGCACTCGAGGCGCTTGCATTCTGGAAGTCAATCGTGAGGATTTGGGATTGGCTCTGCGTTCCATGTGTTGCAGTCACCATGACATGGATTGACTGAGGCTTTAAGTCCGTGGGGACGTGGCCTTGGAGCTTCAGGGAACTCGAATTGAAATTCAGCCATACAGATGCCGCACCAAGATCTACCGCAACGTCCGCCGTGGAATCTGAGACGAGCTCAGGCTTGAGATCATACGTAAAGACTGCTCCTATCGTGGCGTTCACTGTGGCAAAAGGCCCTGCAAAGGAGCTCGTAAGGGAGCTCGTATGGTTGTTGGTGTTCTGGATTAGGACGATTGTGCTCGTAGCATCCCCATAAACATCGCTCGCAGTCACGGAGAAGTTTTGCGAAGTTGCACTTTCGGGAGGTGTGCCGGATAGGGTCAGGGTACTAGAATTGAACGACATCCACGGTGGCGTGCTTGCCACAACTTCGCGTAGCTCAGAAGAACTTGCCGGCTGACCATCCAGAGTCAGATCATGCTGAAGACCAGTGAAGTTTACCAGCAACCCATTCGTGATATTTATGACATGCAACCTGTTTCCAAAAATGAGTAGATGGCTCTGAATAACCAATTGAAAGCTTGCGACGGCTTCTGTAAATCCAATCACATCTGAAGCTATGAGCTGTATCTGGAACACTTGAGGAAGCTCCCATGGAGAGGTCGATGAGGGCGTTGTGCCGGAGAAGGTAAGACTGCTGGGATGGAAGTTGATCCAAGACGGCAAAGGCGTATTGTTAGCGCATATAGCATAATATACAGTGTTTGCGCTCGTATTCGTAAAAGTATTTGGAGAGAAAGAGAGCGACAGTGCAGTCGAGGGTGCAAGTGAGAGACTGTCGGGGCTGGGAACCGGGCCAAAGGCGGGGAGCTGCTCTGCGACTGAAGTACCCAGTCCAGGTCCAGGATCAGTAGACACTACAAATGTCACGGACATTAAGCTTGAACCAGTGTCGTCAGTCGCGGCCAGGCCCACGGCGAAAGATCCAGCGTCAGCAGATCTAGGTGTTCCAGAGAAGACCCTGCTTGAGCTGTTCAGCTGAAGCCATCCTGGGCCGTTCGTGAGACTATAGTCGATGGAGTTTCCAGCCCAGCTGAAAGTGGAGTCCGAGAAGACAAAGTTGTAGGCTTGATTGGGTCGGGCGACAGGAAGGACTTGCGCGTTGATGGGCAAATTGATGCTGGGAGTCGCATAAACTGAGACCGAGGAGGCCAGTAGGAGGACGGGGAGAGCGGCTTTGTGCAGGTGTTTCAAGGTTGCCGGTGGCTGCTGCATCATGCGTCGGACGTCCGCAAGGGGCGTTCAAACCACATCGTCTAGACATAAAGCAGGCGACCGCATCTTTCTGGTGGCCTGCAATGATTGACACACCAGGAAACCCCAGAAGGCTCAGAAAGGATCCCATGATAGCGAGCGGAAAGCTGGGAGGTTATTGCCAACGTTCACTTGTGGAATCACTTGAGAGAAGGGGCTGGATGTGATCTAGGAAGGGGCTGGACGCGTCCCATTTTCTCTACCAGAATGTAAATCGCGAAACTCATGCAAGCGAGACGCGACCCCTTGGCCCAGCTGCATTCTTCAGCAAGAGGCCAGACAACAAGCTTTCAATCACACTGATGAAAATCCCCAAAGCATTTGGATGCCTGTTCGCCCAACGGCGTAGTAGTCCTTGACTCGGCTCACCTCTTCCAAGCCTAACACCTTGTATAGACGTCTCGCAGGGATGTTTCCCTCGTCCACCCAGAGCTGGATCTTAGTACATCCCTGCTTCTTCAATCGTTCCGCCTGAACTTCTAGCACAATCCTGGCAATGCCTCGGCGTCTGTATCCTTCCGAAACACAAATCTTGTGCAGGAGGACAGCATTCCCAGCTTTGAGATGGACGAAGACCATGTAAGCGACCATTCTTGGCCTTGCCGGTGTAGATAGGCCAGCATCATCAACGATGATTACGAGGTCCATATTTCGTTTCTGAAGTTCAGTGGTGAAGTCCATGGCTTCGCGTCGGGAAAAGGTTTTCTTCTCAACGTGCTGCACCTGGTGTATCAACTCATCCTTCGCTACCTGAAGCTTTCCGCCTGTATGCAGGGACTTGATAATCACATTGGCCATTGAGTAAAATCGAGCACGTAAATATCACCACGAAACCGTATGTTGATGGCAAAGAGAAGTCGAAACAGGTGCAAAGACACACGCCGCTTCTGACACTTGATTTCCCTGGGAATGTGGCAAACTACGAAGTCGACTCTGCGAAATATTTTGGGCTTGGAGTTGCAAAGCCATCAGGCGTGATCTTTCTGAATATGCTGGTTGAAAAACACGGATCTGTGGGGTCACCATTTTTTGAACGATTGCTAAAGTACTGTACGTTGTGCCGGCAATTTCGCGCTAATTTCGTAGCAGCGGAGGTCATTCCGCTCCTTGGCTCCATACTACCCCCCTCGGCATAAAGCTTTCCCACTGTAACCTGTCAACAGTCATGACATCTGATTTGGCGGAAGAGCTCTCACTTCTGTCCATCTCAGAGGACCTAGTACCCTCTACCGACGAAACACCATCGCAAGAAGTGATCCTCGCATTCGACGGGCTTCTGTGTCCGCCTCTCGTTCTTCAGACCAACGAGACAGAATGTGGAGGGAAGCTGTGGCCGGCGGGCATAGTTCTGGCGGAATATTTACTCCGCAACAAGATGGATGAGATAGTAGGCAAGAAGATGTTTGTACGCTCCAATGTTTCTTTCCTCCTCACGCGTACCACAATGCAAGTATCTGGTTATGCTAACCAAAGCCCCTGGATAGAATTGAGCTCGGCGCTGGCAGCGGCCTTGTGGGGTATGCTTTCCGTGATCCTTTTCCTTTTCACACATTTGAGGCACTGACGGATCGATCAAAGCCTTGCACTCGCGATCGGTCTCAAATCCACCGGCGTTCGAACCACCACGATCCACTTGACTGATGGTCACCCGCCGCTGCTTTCCCTTTTACAGCACAACATTGATCTCAACACGCCCAATCTCGGCAACTCGACTACTGTTTTGCCATATCTTTTATCTTGGGGCCATCCAATATCTCCCACGATTCCCAGTCCAGCAGACATTCTCTTAGCGGCGGACTGCTCCTACCGTACGTATTCTCGGAGTCAAAAACACTGAACCGACCTCAATCTTGAGCCTTGAGACGTGTCCATAGAGGAGGGGTTGCTCCTCAGATGTGTCTCATGGCTCTCGAATTCTGTCTCAAATAAGCAATGCTGACTGCCGAATCTTTATCAGTTGAGTCGAATGTGCCTTTGCTGACAGCCACTATGGAAGCATTGATGGGAAATGACACCGTATGTTATTTCTGCTATAAAAAGAGGAGGAGGGCGGATAAGGCCATGATACGCAAGTTGAGCAAGTTGTTTGAGGTTGATGAGATCAAGGAGTGGGAGAAGGACGGCGTATTCCTGTATGAGATAAAAAAGGGAAAGTCAATCCTAGGCGCGGGCCAAACAAGAAATGGACTATGATCCGCATGACCGTGTTGGTACAAGGGTACGTGAATAGGACACTTAGAGAACGAGCATCTCGGTTCAGGTCAGGAGTTCGGTTGTCATGATCATAACTTTCACAACTTGTAGCCGCCACCCCCCTTTCCGACCGCGACTTGTCCTTGGACAGCCTTTCCCTCCACATCTCTGATTTCGCCTTTCTTCCCTATCACTCTCACGCCGCCCTTTTTCAGGTCCCCAATCACGCCTCTCTTCTCCTGCTCCTTTTCCCCACGGCCCTCCAAGCCCTTCGCCGGCGCCAGCCCCCCAGCCTTCCTAATCCTCTCTTTTTCTCTCCGCCTCCTCCTAACCTTTTCATCTCTCGTCATTTCTTCCCGTCCAATTGGTAGACCACTTCCCTTCTTCAAGACTTCTTCTTTACTGCCTTTTCCTTCACCCGGCTTATAGACCTCCTGCGGTGCCAGCATACTTTCTCCACCCACCTCGCCACCAGCAGCTGGTCTAGCATCCTCAATGCTAATCGTTGGCACATCCGCCACCACGTTGATACTTGCGCTTGGCGGTTTAGGCTTATAGTGCCAACTGCTCAGCGCGTCTAGCTTCGCAGAGACATCTTTCCACATCTGCTCTATTTTGGCATGTTCGCGCTTAAGCTTTTCATCTCGCTTGTCTGTGTATCCTTCTGGATCGACAGTCTTGAGATGCTCAGCCTCGTACATTTCCGCGAGACTTTGCGTTGGCTTGGTATCATCCAGCTCGAATCGTCCTCTCCTCACATCCCCATTTCCGGTCGCCAAATTCCCAGGACGTCGTCTGATGACTTCATCAAATTCTCTGGCAAGTATCCGCCGCTTGATTAGCGCTTCGATGTCCTCACTCACCTCCTGCGTGATGACAGGAATCGGCTTGCCCGCGCGCTCGAAATCAAGGTCTTCTTCTAGCAGAGAATTGATAGGGCGGTCAGCAGCACGTGCTTCACCAGAGAGCGTCCAGTCACGTTTGGCCACCGAGGCGGCTTCGAGACGACGAATCTCAGCTCTGAGAGCCGCCTGACGTCTTTGATGAGAGGAGCGACGATCGTTTGCATCAGACGGAGCTTCATCCTCGTCAGGTGTGAGGTCGTCCTCGAAGATGTCGCGGCGGACAGCAGATATGGTCCGTTGGACGTCGTCTTCGGTTGCGTGTGGGGTGGGGGGCTGAGTCTTGGGGAGCGCACGGCGGCGAGAAAGGTTGGAAGCTTTGCTTGGTGGAGGTGCGAAGAAGTCGGCATATTTGATGTCATTGGTATTATTCATGGCTCCGTTGTCGTCCACTTGGGCTCCGTTCGCCGAGTTATCATCGTCATCTGAGATGTCTGAGGTATTTAAGTCGACATTGCCGAACGTAGGACCCTTCTCCTCATCTTCAGATCCCTCCATTGTTCCATCCTCAAGCATTCGACCTACTTTATGTGGCGATGTTACAGCCAAAGGATCGACGTCCCAGTCTACATCCTCCTCGTCACTTGCAGCGCCGTCATTCTCTCCGCGAGCATCTTGTTGCTCGAGAAACTCTGACTGTCGATTGAAATCATCTATGGAGAAAAAGCCATCATTGAGGCCGTTCTTGTCCGGATGAAAAATCTCTTTCGACTCCTCGTCGGACTCTGACAGCTCATTCGAGTCGTCCTCTTCGCCTACACCTTCTCCGTCAAGCATGTCTTCATCGCCATCGTCGAGAACATGGCCGGATTCTGCGGCCTCACCGTCTAGTGGTGGCTGGTTCGAGTCATCAAGGGATACGTCTGACTCCCCCAGAGGCATATCGTCTTCGCCATTGAGCTCATCTGGATTTGAGATGCCGACTTCGGAGCCATATTCATCAAATTCTTGAAATTCGACAGATTTCCTATTACTCGTTGGGTCACCAGCTAGTCCCTTGGGCAGACTCGTCGTCTCTTGTGTTTGAGACTTGTTTGGCAGCGATCTTTCCAGCTCGGATCTGGTTGCATCTAAAATCCTTCTTGCCTGCTCCCAAATTTGCTCTACTTTTAATCCTTCCAAGTAAACTTGGGTAAGTTGTAAGGGTTTCCGGGAGGCGTCGGCATCGTAGTGCCCTCTTTTCCGCTTCCGCCTGTTGACTTGCTGCCGTTGCACTTGTGCTACACTCGTAGATATCGCAAGGGGATCGAGGTAGCGTTTTGCGAAGGCAAGAGATGCTGCGCGGAGGGTTGGAGTCGGCTGCAGGAAGGTGTGGGGAGCGGACTCGAGGGTTGAAAGCAAAATTTGCTCAGATGCAGGAGGAGTTCCTGCAACTTCTGGATGGGTCAAGGCGGTGGGCGCCATGCCTATTGTATGGGTGCAATCAATCGAGCGTTTGAAGGGAGCGCACCGTCAGCACAGTCAAGAATCAGGATGTTTGTTTCCGAGTTTGCAGAGCACAGGATTTAGCGACTTAGCGATCTCTCGGCAAGTGCAGAGAGATTAGATAAAGTAAGATAAAGTAAGTAAGGTTGGAGTTCAACCGGCCGACCCTGGACTAGGCTTAGTGGCGGGGATAAGGTAGTGAGGGTACCTTAGATCCTTGGGCTTGAGATAGATCCTAAACCAACCATTGGGCCTATCAGATTTCTCCGATGCAACTAAAGAAAAGCATTGTCTCTCAATAGCGAGTTCTGCAATACTTTTGCGCTCTCATGCTCTATCAGTACATTCTGCGTGCATGAGCACCCTCCCCACATCAATTGGCTCCAGCCCCGCTCCGGTCACTTGCCGACAGTCTTCCGCAAGCCCTGATAGAAAATCGTTGAAATCGCGTTGCCGAGGAGAAAGGGGAAAAGAAAGTAGCATCTTCTCCATGCCCTCTCCGGATTTTTGTTATTATCATTCTTTCAGTCCCCATGCTCAATTAGCAGTGCAATTGCCTAGTCTGAAGTGCAATGAAGTACGGGGAAACTTTCCAACAGAGATCAATTCCACTCTGGGAAAACTGTGAGAAAAATCCCTTACTCTGCAGACCAAAATCCGAGGTGCTAAATGGTCACGCGACACCAGATAACGTCGATTACAACGATATCAAGCACCTAATAAAGGTTCGCACAACACAAGGACAAGGTCAAGCAAAGGCTATACCAGGTAGCGATAGTGAAACAAAAGCTTTCCATGCTTTCGAGGATGAATTGTATCGCGAATTGCGTGACCAGCACCAAAGAATCGATCTCTTTGTCCAGAGTAAGGCTGGCGAGGTAGGAAGAAAGCTTGGTACGTATCTCGAGCCTTCGCACGAAGATGTGTTGCTGATTTGGCTTCCTCATAGCTCATTTGGATAAGCAAATTGCACAATTGGAAATTCGAAGCTTCCCCACAAGCCGTGGGAAACTACCCATCAAGCGGTTGGAGAAATTTTCCAGGCTGGAGGAGGCTGTTCTTAAGTAAGTCCTGGATGCGAAGTATTATCGAGAGAAACCTTGCTGATTTAAGCTTGCAGAGCCGGAGAAGAAATACAATCCCTTTCACGTTTTGTTGGAGCACAACGTTTGGCTTTTCAGAAGCTGCTGAAAAAGTATAGAAAGTGGACTGGCTCTTCTGAACTAGGCAATCGCTTCCGCAAAGAAGTACTCGACCGTCGAACAAGTTTCTCGAAGACAGACTTTGAACCTTTACTCGCGCAATGGACACAAGTCTTGGCGTCTGTCCGGGCACCTTTCGTTGATGGCATCAGTTGGCAATCCGATCCTACGGAACCCAAGAAAGAGGAGTTCCAATCGCATAGACCAGTGCCGCATAAGTCTCCAAGCAATTCTGCGCAGAATCAGGCCGCAAAAAGCCAGCATGTGAGCAAGGACCTAAGCAGTGCAGCAGATCTACAGACAGCCTGGGAGAATGGTTCAAATCTTGAAATAGACACCGCCCTCGCTACAATACCATTTGGTCATAGGGCAGCCAAGGCGGCGTACTGGATCCACCCAGATAACATAGTACAGATCCACGTGCTGCTACTCCAGTACACCAGACTGCAGAAATCGAATGAGACGTTTTCATCTCCAGAAAGTCCATCTTCCCCCCGAGGGTCCATAAGTGGCCATCCGGCTAGGGGTTCTTCTCGAACCGACGAAGAGCTGGGTGTCATCATATGCGATGACCTCCAACGTTTTGCCCAAAGGCAGAGTAGCGAGACCATAAGCGACTCTGAAAACCGCGCAGGCTTCGCTCCCGAGAAAGCTGCCGCGAGTATCAGGTATTCCTCAAATGGTGACGCTGTCGTCGTCGTGGGCGCAGGCACCAATGATGCTAGCAAATCTACGTGCTCGAACAGGGAGTTCGCCACGAGGAAAGCTAGGTTCAAGCGCAAAGCCATACAGCGGCTGTTCAGCACTTCCAGTGGAGAAGAAGGTACCATAGCAGACGGCTCAAAGGATTCCGAACAAGTCAGTGAATGGTTCGTCGGGCACAATGAGGTTCAGCCCTTAGTGCAACTACGATTAAGGCGCACCCGGTTCGTTGGTCTCAAGAACAGCGCGACAAATGGACTTTGGGCTACACTTGACAAAAATATCTCAATGTGGAGCTGTCCTCCAGATCTCCTTGCTAGTGACAAAGGCTTCAACACCATTGACGATGGAGGGGAGAAGGACTCCGAAATCTTCCCACATGCAGTCCTTGAGATCAGGACCGAAGGACCAGCTGATACCAATGTGATAGCTGCTTTAGACGCGTCGTATTTGGTCAGGCTCTTTAATCTATTCTTTCGCTCTTGCTAAATTTCGTTGCAGACAGAAAGGGTTCGAGGCTTTTCTCTCGAAACACACGCTGTGGCTACCCTGTGCAAGCCTCAAGGAATGCCACGTCCATTTTGGGTAGGTGCTATGTCCATGTCTCTTAATCTACTGACTGAGGACCAGCTCCCAGCCTTAAAGCAAGATATACGCAAGGTCCCAGCAACATCGAAATTGCCAAAAGCGCGCAAATCGCAAGGCCGTTCTAGTCCTGAAGAGTCAAGCACTCGGCATACATCCGTCTCAGCGTCATCGACGAAGAACGGCATATCAAGCGGCGGTTTCTCGGCGCTGCGCGGAGAGTCCTCTGCAACGTCGGCGCCAGACACTCTTGCCACTCCGCCTCTCGACGCCTCTAAGAAGATAAAGAGACGGCGGTCAAATCGCAAGCAAATGCCCCAAAAACGATTGCGAGAGCCAGCTCAGCCTAGATATGAGCGCTACTGGAACGAATTCGACGACGGCAGCGACGGTTCTCAAGATGGAGCGTACACCATTTTCGTCGATCCTAATGCTTCATACAGCATCCCTGGTGCAGCGGCAGTGTTCAGACTGTGCGGGTCAATTTCCTCAAGCATCAAGGCCTCCGAAGAGACAATACTGCATTGGTTCAGATCGTTTCAAAAGACCAGGCATGGCGAGCAGCGGCTTCTCGTCAACGGCGAGTGCTCTCCCAGCACTGCAGACTCTGACCAATCCGACGCAGACTCCTCAACCAGACACGTGAAATCATCTCCACATCGTCGCTATTCCACCTTTCCCGTGCTCTCGCAACCTCCCGCTGCCCGCGCCCGCGAGGCCCTTCTCTTCCGCTCTTGTATCGCCTCATTTGCTTCATCGATTATCCTTCTGGTCGTGGCCGCCTGCTTAGTTACCACAGGACGCAGGAAAGCTGCTAATACCGTCGATGCAGGTGTCATCATTGGCGTAGTCTCGAGCCTGGTATTTGCCGTTATGGGGGCGGGAAGTATGGTAAGGAGAAAGGATGATGTTGGATGGATGCACAGAGCTGCCGTGTTCTTGGTCTTTGTATGCGTTGTCCTTGCGAGTAGCATTTTGCTTGCTGCGCTGCGTCTCTCCTGATGAACAGCTTAGCAGTCTTTTTTCACGATTGGATGAGTAGCAGGTTACTGGCAGATTGACAAATTCTTTGTGCAATTTTCGAGACTGCAGGAAATGTAGTAGAATCAACAGTCTCACCCCTGCTTGGACGCCGTTTTAAAGCCGAGAAGTGCTCAGACGGATCGACGGATACTTGTGTATCGCAGCACTGAAACTATGCCCTCGGCCCTAGTTCCCATTATACGCATTGACCCGCCCATGCTGCGTTAGACTCTGCCATCGTGCCTCAAGAAAGCCTCAATGGCACTACCGCTGTGTGTAGAGACCTGTGCTTTCCTATACACGCTGTTTATGTTTACTTTGGTCCATTCTACAATATCATCCTCTCGACACCCTCCTCCCGGTGTCTGGATTCCTCTTCGTCCTCTTCTTCTCCATCTTCTCCCTCTCCGTCCACGGCCTCTCCTCATCTTCCTTCTCCCTTTCCCTCTGCTTCATCCTAGGGAACGGCTCCCATGGCTCTCTCTCCCCGCTCTCCTCCTCCTCATCCCCCTCCTCATCCTCCTTCCCCAACCCTTTCATTGTCTCTAGTCTCCTAACAGTCTTTTCCAGCTCTGCCTCCCCGTCCTCCCTGAACCGCGTAACCTTTGCCACATTCCTGGCTGTGATTTCGCGGATACCTCCATCGTTCGCTCTTTCCCGCACCAGAGTTTTCGCCGTCATGGCGAAACGCATATCACGGGGGCCATCGACGAGTTCGAGGATCGCGGAGGGTGCTTGGTCGTTATTGCGGTTCAGAGGTTCGATGCGCAGGACGCGGGTGTAGCCTCCAGGCCTATTCAGATATCGTTGTCGAAGAGTTGTGAATAGAGTAGGTAGATGTTTCAATGGCTCCTAGATGCATGCCTCATCAGTATCTCATGCGCAAGGAAGAGCCTCAAAAAAGTAGATGTAAGGTACCAACATACGAAGAAAATACTCTCCGCCCTCGCACGACTCGCGTTGGTGTTTTTCTTGCCCAGGGTTATCAGCTTCTCGGCTAGTCGCTGCGCTTCTTTGGCTTTGGGCCAGGTCGTCTTTATGGATTCGTGGGTTATGAGGGAGGTGACGAGGTTGCGGAGGAGGGCTTGGCGGTGAGAGGACTTGCGGTCTAGATGCCGGTATTTCAGGGCACCGCCAGCCATTGAGGTGGAGGGTGATAATTTGATTGATCGGGGTGGCTGGCGGTGGAGAACGGGAAAGCTCTTGAGCTTCAGTCGCTGGCAGAAGTTCGATATTTACTAGCTGGCAAAACCTCGGCAAACGCGATCGGCGAACTCAGGAGCCTCGCGAGCCACCTTCTAATTGAAGGAAGGTATGCTTTAAGAGCCTGATATTCCATATTCCAGCACCATTGACGGAGATATCTTTTGTTTCATTTTCGGTGTATATACACTATTGCTCTGCTTGTTGACGGAAACGAAAACTTTTTGCATGTTTACATGGATTTACTCTGTGATACTTCAACGGTATCAAACACAGCTTTCAACTCGCCAGAGTTGCAAGCGTAAAATGAACTTTCCAGAGGACAATGTCGACATATGCAACCAATTTGCTCAGTAGCTATACGCCACACACTTCGAGCTGTTACTTCACCAAGACTCCGACAAGATATAGAATGTTTACATGCAGCTAACAAACATTCATGTATTAGCCGACAAGTACGACGTTCACAACCTCGAGGACGAATGCATTAAGCAAATGCTCATTTTGTATTTGAAGTGGCATGGACCACCTAACATGGAGGTAGTACGCTGTATATACAGCAACACTATTTGACCTTCGCCTTTCTGTAAAGCGCTCCTTGATTGTTATGCAATCTACCTTCAATCTGAGTGGTATTCCGAAAGACCCGCCGCAGGACCTCTTTTCCGACCTTTTAATTTGCGGTCGACCACGCAATCGCTATGGCTAAGAGGATTAGCGATCCGAAATTCATGCGGAGCGATCCTTTCTGTTTCGATGGAGAGGGGAGGCCTATTAGGACTAGGCTGGATAGGATTTTTGGATCGAAGCTCATGCCATTGCTAAATCTACCTCATCAAGAGAGTCATGCCGGCTCCCCACTCGGATGGCTTTGGCTAGATCCTGTTCGGCGAGGCTTAGAAGACGAGGAAGACGGGCCTTCTATGACAAGTTATGGCATTCTATAGCTTCCACATTGGAACATTGACAGCCGCAGGCTACCGTAAGGATGTAACAGCTCCAGTGACGAGTAAGTGGGAGGAGAAGCTACGATGAAACACGAGTAAGTGAGAGGAGAGGCTGCGATGCAACCAGTGAGTATTATGAAGAAGTCAGCTCCTTAGGTCTGACCGCTTACCGTCCAAGAAGACAACCAGAAGCGCAAGTTTATGCCTAGCAGAGATACGTCGACATACCTCAAGAGGGAATATAGCTATAGGGACGACAAATTTCTGATTCCCTTCTGAATGCTAACTTTCGCCTTTTGGAGGCACCGATAACCCTGAAACTCTCTTAGCAACTCGAGCTCAATCGGTATTTGAATCAGACAGCACCGTAGCGGATACATCAACAGAAGCGTGTGATCTTTCGACGTGCCCCTCATAAAACCATCTCCCGAGCCCACTCATAGCCTTCTGTCCCCCTCACTCCACTCTCTCGCTCTTCCCTCTACCCCTTCCCTAACAGTCCGCAATCTGATTCCTTGCGCATATCTCACTGCCCCTTCGACCTCGCTGTTCCATCTATCCTTCCACCGTTCCGTCCAGGGCGCTTTCTCTACCCTATACGGCTTGATACCTTCTCTCAGTCCCCCACTGTAATTGGCATCTGCTATCGTCGCGAGTTCGCTTGCGACTTCAGGGTCACTTAGCGAATTAAGGAGGATTGTTTGTTGGTGTAGTAGGGCGGCTTGGTGGGTGCGGGCGCGTTGGTGGTAGAGGAGAGAGAGATAGAGCGCGGTAGATGTGAGGGTGAAGCCGGAGAAGAGGTTGGTGGTGAAACCCATTCTTGAGACAAACAATGCAGACTCAAATTGGGACTTTGATTGATATGTGTGTCGTCGAAGTCGCTCTTGAGCTTAGAATTTGTATGCGGCTTCGGAACGAATTCCGCTGAGAGGAACCTCTGCCGAGTGCCGACAAACGTTCAAATTTATTACTTCTACTACTGTTTTTCTCAATTCAGTATCTTGTCCCATCATTTGGAAGCCAAAGTGCTCATACCAACCAACGGCGCTTCGAGTGCGCGACCATGGCCTCCCACGCATCCCTCGACGCAGCAGCCACAGAGCGCAAAGCGCGCCTTGCAAAGCTGAAATCTCTAAAACGTAAACAACCTCCCACAGACTCAGAAGACCAAGACACCTCCGAGCTCGGGCCCTCCATACCCACCGAAGCACCCCCGACATCTACTGAAGATCCCACCAGCCAGTACCTCTCCGGTCGCAATTATGATCCCGAAACCCGAGGTCCAAAACTGGGCTTCGAATCTGCCCCCAACGCCGAACAAGAAACGTTGGAAGACCGTGCAGCGGCAATAGCACTAGAGACGAGGGAAAAAGAGGAGAGAGAGCGGAGAGAGGAAAAGCCGATTGATCTTTTTACGCTACAGCCGAAGAAGCCAAATTGGGATTTGAAACGCGATGTGGCGAGGAAGATGGAGGTGCTGAATGCGAGGACTGAGAATGCGATTGCGAGGTTGGTGAAGGAGAGGGTTGAGGGTCAGAAGAGGAAGGAGGTGGAGACGAGTAATGGAGATGTGGGAAAAGGACAGGATGGGGAAAGCGTGGGGATGGGAGGGTCGGAGCTCGTCGAAGGCGTACATCTAAGAGAGAAAGAAGAAGCGGAAGAAGAGAGAAGGGAGAGGGAAGAGGATGCCGAGCTTGCCTAGATAACTCTGGAAGCGATGCGAGGTTCCTCTCCACATCTCCGATGGACTCAGGACTTATGCTGCGCTTCAGCGTGGAGTTCACTGGGTGCAGGGCATTTGCGTTCGATGTAAAGAACATGATTGGGAATGAAAGTGGTTCTTCGGCAATCGAAATACTGGTCGTATTTGCGTAGAAAGTCTATTCCAATGGTATTGCTTTTGAACAAAACCGATATCCATATACCTCATGGGCTTTCTAAGCGCCGTCGCTAAACATCAATTCCCCACATTCATCGCTAGTGTGAGTCTAACTCTTTTACTGAAGGGGCTCAAGCTCCTTTCTTTTTTCTGAGGAGGGGCGTTTGGTGGTGGCCGGGTGCCCCTGATGTTCTCATTTCGATCTCGAGCACTGCTTCCATATCGATCATTGTCGTTCGAGTAGCTCTGGCGACCATCAACGTTTGGATGATGTTCTGGCCGTTGGGAAACAGTGTCCTGCCTCAAAGTCTGTCTCGCAGGGAGGCCAGGCGTCATGGACTTCCTGTTTCTGATAACTTCACTTCTATCCCTGCTCTCGCTAGGGCTCCTTGTCCGCCGACTGCCTCTGTTGCTATTCAAGTCCCTGTCTCTTCCACGGTCCACAGGACTCCTGGATGAATGTCGACGCCTTTTATCCCGAGTTCCGCTAAGCGAGGATTTCTTCCGCCTCTTGTTTGTTGATGAGTGTGAACCGTAAGACATGGACCTGGGCATTCTATGCTCTCTCTGCCTGCGTTCCAGGCCCAATGGTCGACCAGCGTCGCGATCGATCGGCCCCTTCCTATCATATCCATCACCGCCTAATTCTTGGGGGTGATTTTTCCTTGGGCTGCCGTGTGATGAGTCTGAGGTGTATGATATTGAGGAACTGCGACTGCGTCTTCGCTTGCGATCTACCTCAAGATTGGAGAACACTTGGCTCTGACCGGTATGGCGTAAACCTGCAAGCTTCGGGGACAAGGAGCGCGAGAGGTTGGTCGAAATAGTAGATACGGAGTTCGACGAGTACGATGAGGTAGACCTAGAACGCTTTCTCGATCCGTTCATATGCTCATCGTCTGCTTTACGCTTGCGACCCCGTTCGTGTTCCTTCCTTGCAAGAAGCTCATCGGCAACGCCCTTCCTAATCTCAGTCAGTCTGGTAGCTGGCCTTCCTTTCAACGCGATACGTACTTTCGCAACAAATCATTGGGGGTGTCGCTGGTCAATTTCGGTACCAGTTTCGGATTTACGAGTTGCTGGGTCCTTGAAGGTCTTGAGGTGTAAGGCCTTTCCTGGGCTGGTGCTTTGCACTCATAGCTATAGTGCCGTGCTTGACAGTCAGACTCAGAACGCAGGAGGGGGACAATCGGACTTATCTTTTTTAAGACACTTCTGGCAAAGCGTCTGTGATGTGGCTTTGGAAGATGCAGCGGAGGTTGGCCCGCGGAAGCGGTTCATTGAGCTGGCGAGGTTTCGATTCTGGGTGCCTGAGTTCTTTAAAAACCCGAGTGTCAGGTGAGTCAGGCTGAAGATATCAGACGAGTTGATACATGAGTTGGAGAAATTAAATATATAGAGGTTTGAGTCTGGTGTAACGGAGTGCAAAGTGTATTGTAGACAAGTAAATTGCTAGAATGGTCAGGAAGAGAAACAATGGTGGCTATGAGCAGAGACGCACGCTCGGAATAAAGTAAATGTACCTTTGGTACCAGGGTGCCAAGGCTTGGCGTTTTGGCACGCCTAGTGAGAAAATGACGTCCCACTAACTGAAGTACTAAGCCTCCTTCGACCTCCGCTTCCATTTTCCTGCAGTACACAAATTCTCTCAATAGATTGCTGAAGGCTTTGAACCTTTCCCCTCGCACCCAGCCTGTCGCTGAATATTCTAATACACCATTCTGTCCGGATCCTCTGAACGACTCCTTGCACGGGAATTTGGTCAACAACTTGGTGAGCACGCTGCTTCACTCAGATAGTGGGGCGAGAGCCTTGGGGTGGCTGTACCTCAGGACTGGCCGCTTTCTCTGTGTCTTTCCACGAGGCAAGATTTAGCACACCATCGGGGCGCACTATCTTGGGACGCTCGTTCAGACTACATGGCGGGCTTTCATAATGCCAAAGGAACACTTTTCGATATCCTTCGACCCTTTTGATATGCTACCTTCTCCTTGACATCTTGCATTCGAAAAGATCCAACTTCTACACTCCTTTATTTGGGTTCGGCGCAAGAACAGTTTCTGGCTCTGCATCCTTCATTACCATTCGTTGGCGACATGGCAACACACACCAACAAAACGAGTGTGTCAAAACCATCATTTGCGAGCGTTTGTGACCCTTCTTGTGACCCTTCATTGCAGCTCCTTCACACCGCTAACTGACCTCCACCTCACAGATTGCGGCGATGGCTCCTCCTATCCATCCTGGACCACTAATCGTAGGCCGAGAAAATGAGAGGCCTTCGAAAGCATCGTCCCCAACCCGCTCAAGCCAGGCTTCAAAAGTCGAAAGCCCTATGGCGTCTCAATTGCACCGAGAACTGCAGAATTCGATGTCACGGCTTGCCGTCAGGGAATCTCCACTGGCTTTGAACGCTTTAGATGACCAGCAGAAGAGTAACATCAGCCGGGCAGGTCTCAAATTCGATGATGATCAGACTCAGATCTCATCGTCGTCCACCAAGCCCGCAAGCCTTGATGGCAAAAGCACTACCTCTGGCACAACATTTGCGCTAGACGAAAAGGAGTCGCTTCGGCCGGATGATAGTGCCAGTGTCAAAGCTGCCGAGGATGAAGATTTTGGTTCGGGACCTGCGTCTGGTACGCAGAATTCGCGGGTTGGTTCGGAAGCTGGGAGCAGAGCATTTCGAGATCAATTCTACGAAATCACCGAGAGCATTGGCTCGGGCTCTCACCGAATGCATCCTCTCAGTCGGAGAATCATCGTGGGGATTGAGGAGGAAGGACCGCAAATGACACGCTCTCCACTTACATCAGCATTGCCAGCACCAGTCAACTTGCCTCATCCTGATATCATTGCGCCTAAAGCGCCTATAATTGATTACAAGTATCAGGAACCGGATGAGAAATTGTTCGAAGCCCTCGAATCTCCCAAAGATCGATTGTTTCTTTTACGCCTTGAGCAGGAAGTAATCACATTCGTCAAAGATTCACAGTAAGCTTTGGCCACGAATTCTTCGACAAAGAGCACGCTGACGTCCATCTCAGAGAACCGATGATCGATTTGCCTCCCTGTAATTCTTTTTGTCGTCTACTAGCGCACAAGCTGGCAGATTATTATGCATTGACACATTTTGTTGACAATGCCGTAAGCTCTGTACGATTGTACAGAACGCCTTATTGTCGAGTGTAAGTATCCGCTATACCTACCAATGCATCACATGCTTACATCTTCCAAGCCCGCCTCCCTTAGGTGCCCTTGCACCAAAAGCTTCGGCTCCCGTGGATGCCCAATCCTCGTCTCAACCGACCATGAAAATCATGCGTCGCGCAGGTGTAGGCAGGGATGGCCAAATTATTGAATCTGGAGCCAACACCGCAGATGGCTCAATGGCCCCTTCTAAAGCTGGTTCGGAGACTGGCGAAGATAGCCAACGAGGTACTGGCGTAGCATCTCCAACTGACTCAAACCTTACTAAAGACAAATCAGCCATGACAAGGGAAGAACGGGAAGCGAAGTACAAAGAGACAAGAGAGCGAATTTTCGGACCGGAGAGTGAAAATATCGACAGCAACGATGCCGTGAACGAGGTTTCACGCACTAGCTCTAGGAATGAGAAGAAAAAGAAAAAACACAAGAACAACGATGACGGTTTTGAAGCACGATCCCAATTCAACGCTTATTATCCTTCCATGCAGTATCCTGTCACAACCTACGATCAGACTGCAGCTTCACCGGCATGTTACAGCCCTTATACCATGCAGCAGGGGAATATGTTAAGCCAGCCCGGGCCTGTAGGCGCGGCCTTGTTGCAGCAAGGCTATCAACAGGGATACAATCCAATGGCAACCCCACAAGGTTTCCCAGCTATGACGAGCCAAAATCCGTCACTAAGTGGATACGATTTGCAAGCCGCAAACGCCCATGCCGCGAGCTACAATCAACAGATTTCATCTCATTACTATCCGCCGATGCAGCAAGGCATTGGCATTGGTCAATCGTCTCCAGTCATTTCTTCGCCAGCAATAAGCAACCACGGTCAATTTTCTCGGCCGCAGTCGCAGTTGTCCGATCAACAGTGGTCTCAGAACACGTATCCTTACTCTTACCCGCAACAGAGAGATCAGCAGCAGTATTTCCCCTTACCAATGCAAAGTCCAAATCCAGTGGCCGGCGTAGCATCGGTTCCCTACCAGTATGGGCAATTACCTTTGCAGCCTGGCACGCAGGGTGTAAGAGCTCAGCATCCACTACCGGGCAGCTATAAGAGCCAAGCTTTCAACCCGCAAACCCGAGCTTTCGTGCCCAATGGGGGCTCTGGTCCACCGCAGGCCGTTCAACATGGGAACAATTCTAGTCTTTCGACCCGAAATCTGAACGGAAGTCAATACTCGCCATATATCCAACAACCGTCGCCCTACCACCAAGGATCTTCGCTGCCAGTATCTGCGTCCTACAGCTTTAGCCATGAGCCCAAAGCCTACGGAACACGCAAAAGCTCAACACAGTCGAATGCTGCACATTCGCCAGTGCAAAGCTCGCTTTCAAAATGGGGCACTCCGTCTCACCTGCCTCCGAAGCCACCGCCTCCAGAGGTGCCAAGCATGCCCGAGGCTCAACACTCCCTTCCTATGAACAACCAATTCAGCGTGAATGTTCAATCGTTGAAGAATGGAGGACAACAAATGCCCAGCTTCCAAAATGGGGTTTATTCGATGCCAAGCGTTGGTTCCCAGGCTACATAGTCCAGACCCAAGATGGTTAATGGTCCTTTCGGGTCAGGAACGCGTAGGGCAGTCTTTCATTTGATTGGATTACGACTGCATGCATTGCGATTGGAGCACATGTGCAGGGCATTTGCAGCGTAGGCCTCGGAAAAGCGCGGTTGGCATTACGATTCGTGGTGGCATGCGTCAGGGTGTTCTGTAGTGGGAGATAGATTAGACAGAAATGAATTGATGAGTATCATCTGAATTGACGTCGACCCACCTCCACAGCGAGATATCGCACCGTAGAACGCTCGTACGTTGACCAATGACAACCATGATTCCAAGCAGCGTGGATTACTAAGCGACGAATTTCTGGTTTCTTTGATTTTGGCTCCATGACTTATTTGTGCACTCGGCTGTCATTCAAGGTAAATGGCAAGATGTGCACAGTTGTTGCGATTCCATTCCCCCAAAGGCTGTGATTGGGAGGATCCTTACATAGCACCGGCGATGGACCCTTGAATGAAGGTCGTTCAATGCTCAGTCGCCGCATACCGCCCTCAAGATGTCCCCCCATCATGTATCCGCCAGTGCCGCCGTGCCTGGCCTTGGTTCCTTCTCCGTACAAGACAGGACGCTCATTTGCTGCTCTGACCACCCGCGCGAAGGTATTCGTGAGCTTGTACCGTCAACCTGAAAGAGCGGCCTCCCTAAGAGCTCGAACCGGATCTGCAGAGACCTTGAATGAAGCAAAGCAAGAACAAAGACAATGCTACTTTCCTAGTCAGTCGATACCAGTCTCGACTTCGAAAGAAACAGCTTCAAATTATCACGTTCGGAAGCGCCGAAGGACCAGAGCTTCCCCAACGCGACCACTAATTGTACTTCCACGTCAACAGAGCAGAAGGTCTCGCGCGCAGCCTCGGCTTCTGGATCGTGTAAGGGTGCAGCTAGTGAATCCAGGCTGTCGATGGCGGCTTTCCCATAAAGGTAGCGCCCGAAAAGGAGGTGGAGATTGGTTTCGTCGTCTGGACCAGATTCGAAAGCCATCAAGATCGATAGGGCCGCACAATGGGATCAGAAGGCCGCACTGGGTTTCGCTTGGCCTCTGGCCAAAAGCCACAAGCTGGAGCAGCCAGCAATCAACGACGGGCTCGCTTGAGGAATTGAGATGGGATTGGATCTCAAACTTCCAGACCTTGAAAATCCCAGAAGATATGCAAAGGTGGACAAGCCTAGGTACAGAGAAAGTGATACGGTACTACTGCGGTCTTCGCCCTCGTGTCAACGAGGATTGGATGGGGCTCCAAGGCTACGATGCTGAAAGGTTATGGCGAAACGTGATGCTGTGGTGTCTGAAATACCGAAAAAAGCAGGCCTTGATGCTACTTCTCTCTACTTTCAAGGGTCGCATATACAGACCTCCCAGATACGTGGTTTCGGACTGCTTGGACTTTCTTGCGCGCCATTTTCTCTTTGAAGTCTCTAATCCAAATCCATTGGCTATTGACGCCATCTGGCTCTTGACTTGCAAATTTATAGATGGTGCCAGTGATCAGGAGCAAACTTTTCCAGTGTCTCAGCACGTTGTCTACCTTATCCTCCAACACAGCGACGATCAACGCGTGCTCTCTTTTTATGGGCTACTTGGCTCAAATAAGGCCGTCTTACATGTCAATACGATGCTGCATTTCTTGGACAGGTTCCTTGACATGGGAAGAATCAGCTTGTCTATGAAATTACTTGGTACAATCGCCAATATTAATTATAACCTTTCTTTGGATCGGATCCAGAAGGCTTGTGTCAGGCTCTTGCGGGCTCATTTTGATACGCAGGAGGAATATGCTATTCGCTCGAATGTCTTAACGCAGATCTTGGAGATGGGGATCAGACCGAAGGTCCCCATGTTTAACGCTATTCTCCTGAATGCAGGCGAGGGTGGCGACTTTGTTAATGCGTGGCAAATGTACGGTCTGGCTAAAGAGAACGCCCTTATACCTGATTCTATCACATACGGCATACTTTTGAAGGGCGCAATACTCAGCGGCAATTTCTCCAATATCGGAATGGTCATTCGCGAGATCCAGACAAATGGGAAAGTGCTTCAAGATCTTCGCCTAGTTAGCGATGTACTCAATGCCATATCTCTCATGTCGCCCGGAGATGAATTCGGCGCAATGCTTGATTTCTACAAGCAACATTGCGACCTCCGTCCCCTGCAAGAACTCTCGCTGTGCGGAGACGAGACACAAGCACCACCTAGTGCAAATTACCATGGAGTCTGGCCCACAACCTACATCCTCACACAGATGATCCTGGCTTACGTCAAACTACATCAAGATTCCCTTGGCCTTATCCACAATTACGAATTGTATCATCAATGTGTAAAAGAGAACCATCCAGTGATCGCGCCTCTCGCTCAAGAAGCTTTTGTGGCGAATTCGTTTATCATGGTTTTTGGGAAGAAACCCGATACCCTTCAACACTGCACCACCGTTGTCAAACACATGCTTGAGTTCTCCTCTCCGAACTTTGCAACACCTGAGTCTGTCCCATATGCGGCGCCAACCGTGCAGACTTGGTCTATTTTAGTCGCCGCGTACTTCCGCAACAGACAAAGACGCGCTGCCGAAAAGGTTCTCGACATGATGCGGGAGCGCGGTATCCAAGGTGACAGAGTTACTTGGAACACCCTTGTTAGCGGTTATGGAATGTTGCAAGACGTGAACACTGCGGTGGACACGGTGAAGAAGATGCAGGCAGCCGGGTTCGAAGTAGATACCTACACCATTAAGGGGTTGGGAAATTTGCGGATACGGGATCGCTTGGAGGAAGCATTAAAGACGAGCACAAAAGAATCATTCGATAAAAACGCGACAGGACCTGTACAGCCTCTAGATTCGCAGGACCAATACGAAGCCAACATGGTTCAAGAGTGGGGATCGACGGTCTTGAGCCGAGAAGAGGAGGTGGAGAAGTATCTGATGGCCAAATATCAAGAACAGCGGGATACGTAGATCGAGAAGCCGAGCGACAGCCTAATTGCAACTGCATAGTTTGCATCGTTCGCATGGAGTATATTTTAGATATCTGACACTTAGTTCCACCTGGCGTGAAAAGCATGTACATAATGATCGCCTCCAAACCACTGCCGTCAAGCCAGTTGCACATAATTGCAGGAACTACGGACTAAAGTGCCATCACTTACTTGAAGCATTTCTTATATGGCAATGGATCCTTTTCGAAAATCAATCGTTCGTGATAGAATTGGCCTCGATCGAGTTTTCGAGCTTTCGCTAACAGGCCATCGGATGCACAATATGGTCGATTACAGCATCAGCGAGCCCCTCTACGTACAATCCGCGTCATGTTGGAAGGGAAGACCATTTGCACACGAATAACAGTTTAGAACTTCGCAGCTCGTCAAGGATCCAGCGTAATTATAGGTGCAGAATGAAGCTCAATCTCGTGGTCTATTTGATGAGACTGCGAACCGACACGATCGACTTTTGTTGCAAGCTAAGGGGAGGCCGGCAATCGAACCAGCGATTCGTGAGTATACGATGCAACATCACAAAACCAAGATTAGGCAACATCTCGCGCCAAGACCTTCACGCCTCCTCCCTCATCCCTAGCGTAGTGGTCCAAAAAGCATAGGCCGTCGTCGCCCTTAATCAGACGCCGTCTTTGAAATCCCCGTGTCCACAGGCTTTCACCTTGATCGGGGTCAGTGCGGGGGGTGACGAGGAGAGTGAGCTTGCCTGTCCACATGGCGAAGACCGCCTGGGTATCAGTCGCTCTCTCGCAGGGACTGGGTGGGTTGAACGAACGGAGATGTATCCCCCCTTCCAACTGTAGGAGCCGGATAACCCGAGCGCGATCTTACGCCCATCCTGCTCGCTGCTTCCATCTCTGCCCTAGCTTTTTTCTTCTACGTACATCTTTTGCCCTCTCAATCCTCCCGTTTTCAATGATGGCTACGACCTACAGACCGTTAGTTGCACATTTTTGAAAGTGGCCATTTAGGATGCGGAGGAACCATAATTGTAAGTTCGGACGGTTCGGGGGATGACTTTGGGTAGGAGAGCGCGCTTTTTGACGTGCTGCCGGAAGTCTGGACAGGTGACTTCTGGATTGCTGGTTTTGTAACTGTGTCGGTTCTGCAGATTGAGTGGCGGGCAGAAATGCAGCTTGAGATTGACAAAACATTCCGGCAAGTCTACAGAAGGGGGAACGAAGATCTGGCGGTGGGGCGAATAGCTTACAAAGAGGGGTTGGCTTGAAGCAATCGGAAAGAGAAAAGGGACGACAGCATCTTTCCAGATTGATAATTGAAAGCAGCCTGACAGATTTTGTATTTCAATTTGTACTGCACAAGAAATGTTCCGAGGGGTATAATAAAGCGTAATACGCGTACGTCAGTCAGGAGGTGAAAAATCAGCAGCAGCCCCAAGTTACACTTTCATGAGCTGGCCATCAAAGAAGCCTAGAAAGCATCGTCTCAGCTGCCATACGAGGACCTCCTTGGTGGTCTAGAGAGTCTGAAGAATACGTACAGCCATCACCACACAGCATAAACTGACGTAAGGACTCAGCCGTTCTCCAACCCTTGCGCACTTCCAGAAGATGCCAAATACCCTAGCGTAATACAGGTTTAGCTCCTTCCCGTTCTTACGTAATACATCCAACAACTCACCCATCACGATTCCTGTCCATAATCTTCGGAAAGGTTGCATGAGCATAGGTGCTTGTGCAAATTACCAGTAAGAGAACCAGCAGCAACGACTGGAAGTTGAAGAGCGCTGACTGCAAACGTATCAGTTATCGCAACTCTTCATCCCATTCAGACCTTGAGCTCAAGCTCACCATATTGGAAATATTCTCAAGTAAGTGCCACGGCTTCGGAGTCTTCTTGAGGGTCAAGATTGCTCTTTGATAGGGAGTTCACAGCTGTCCCATAATATGATACATTCTAACAAGCTTTGCTTAGCCGCGGCGTCTACATAGCCAATTAACAATGGCGAGAGGAAAGAAGC